GTGGTGGTGGTAAATAGTTCTTATGGGCTGTCTTAAGATGCTTCCGAACGCAGTTTGGGTCGCTATAAGATTTATTACAACCTTATTTTGATGTTTGTAGGCCACGTGATCTTTACATGGGGCCATACCACGATATTTTTTATACATCCTTCATAAGGACATAAAAAATAATCGTTTAAATTAAATTATATTAGCCAATTAAATTATAAAACATCTCTCTAGATAGGTAGATTCGATTATTCGAACTACTTTGTTAATTTCATATTTCTGTATTATGTATTAATGATTAATGATAATGATTGTATTATCCAAATGACAAATAACCTTTAGTACATTTTCCGATCACAATCTTATGATATTAAAATAAACAACAAGTTATTATCTTAACAGATTAGTCAAATTAATTAGAAACTATTACACAAACACTTACTAATTAATTTTAAAATGAAAAAAACCTCCCTCCCTTATGGCAATTTTGCAATCACTACCCTGTTAGTAAAATAAATGAGAAAAAATTGGATTAGCTAAATTTATCTTTATTAGAAATATATACTACACACGCACAAACACTTACCAGTTAACAAGGTGGGGGTGGTCGTCGTGCCGGATTTTGCAACAGATTGCACAAATCCAACACCGTTGTCACCAACTCTTGTTGCTGCTGCCGAACAGCCGCATTCTTTCTGTGCGGCGTTTTCTTTCTCCGTTTTTGGCATAGCAAATATATTTTTTTAAAAATTTTAAATTATTTTTTCCTTTTTCACTTGTTTTTTTTAATCAACAACTTCATCAAGATTTGGAACAGCACTGACTTTTTCCTGCCGTATTTTGGAAAAGTCAAGTGCCATCTTTTTAATTTCAGTTAGCATTTTAGTCCAATCTTCTGGTGTTTGAGCTCTTTTAACATTTTTCCAGAATTTCAATTTTCTTTCGTTGCACTAAAGCTAAGTAACCACAGATAATTAAGAAACCAAATCAATAATAGGAAACCCGAGAGCTCCGATCGCTGTTGTTGACCGATATCAATACCAATGTCAACATCAATGAGCTGCTGCGGCCGATTTTGTGGTTGCCACGGCGGTTAAACTGGTCGTCGTTAAAATAAAATAAAAAAACAAATTTTTCATTCTTTCCAAACAGTTAGGTAATGGCCAACCAGAGCATCCAAAAATATACAAATCGATCAGGGAAAAAGGACACAATGGATAACAAATATAAAATAATATAATAATAATCATACTTTATTTATATAAAAGAGTAAGGGGATTAGTGTCTGTGTGTATACATGTTTTTAAAATTGTTTTAGCTTTTTGCGAATGTTGATGCAGCATTTGCATCAAATAGATGTGAGATGTCTTTGATGCTCTTTTAAAATAGTTTTAGCTTTGCGCGTTGATGCAGTCTGATAGGCGTCAAAGCGTCATGTACCAGGCTCAGTATGGATAATATAATAATCTGTAATAGTAATAAATAATAAATAATAATAGTAATAAAATAAAATATAACATTAAATAAAATGTGAAATGTGTCCGTGTGGTGTGTGAAATTAATAAAATAAAATTCTCTGTGCACACACATGAACATCAAACACAACATCAAACACAACTTGGATCAAGAAGTGTGCATGAGCCAGTGTGATTAAGACAATGCTTTATTACAATCGGAACATTACCATAATATTAATTATTAATATTAATTAATAAATTAAATTAAAATTAAAACCACAAAACAATAATTACAAATTACAAAAACAACATGGGTTTTTTTTGACGTATCAAAAATCAAATTCAAATTCAAGCAAAACCCATTTCTGATAGAAACTTGAAAAAAAAGAAAAGAATAAAAGGGAAAGGAGTCAAGAATTTATTTCTATTTGTCAATTATTTAGTCAGAGAACATATTATTAAATTATGATATTAATAAAAAAAATACAATTAAAAATCACTGTGATGAACATGATTAACAGTGCACAATAATTAATAAAATAAAAACACAACATGGGTTTTTTTGACGTAACCATAAACCCATTTCTGATAGAAACTTGAAAAAAAAGAATAAAAGGGAAAGGCAACTCACGTTTATGAATCAACATTTTTGTATAATTTCAGTGATGGTGCGATTTAACATGAATTAAAAATAAAAATAAAAATTTGTTTGATTTGACTTGATAAATATCACAGAGAATAATATCAAAATGAAAAACAAAAAAATCAATTGGTGAAAACGCATTTTTACCAAGTCAAAAAGCACGTGCTCCAAACCATGGATCACGAATGAGTCACAAGTTACTCACGCATTCAATGCATGCACAAAAGCAAAAATACAGCACATCCTTTTTTTCAGCGAGAAACAGCTCAGAAGAGGTTCATTCATAAAATACACATCACTTTTGCCACTAATGCCATCTATCGATCTTTCATAAAGTTTCCGAAAATCGCTTAAGCGAGCCAGTTTGAGCAAGAAAAATTGTACATATGTACATACATTGTATGTTTGTTTTTGTATTTTTGTTTTGATTTTTTGAATTGTACGCGAATATACAATCATCATTTAATAAACAACGTTTAAATAACTAAGAAATTAGTCCTGGTTATTTCATCACAGATGTTCATTTTCTGTGAGATGACCACCGGCTGCTTTATTATTTGGTATCGTTTTGAAGGAAGCAGCTATTTATTGTACAGAATTGGGGGTTGTTTTCATAATTTCCTCGGCTTTGATTTTTCATTTAAATCGGCATGTTTTGTGCATTAATGTGTAATGTAGTTTCGAAAAGCACGTGTTCATTTTATTCCATCATTATGATAAACGACACGAAATTTTAAAATAAAAAAAATCAGGAAATAGCTTGACTTTTAGTCAGACTATTTCATGACTCATTTTCCTGTGTGTAGTCTTACCAGTTCTAGGGGACAAATTAAAAATAAAATATTATTCAATTAGTGGATTATCAATTTTTTTCAACTATTAATTTGTCCAAATGTAACAACGGATAAATTTTTGTATAAAAATATAAATTTTTCTTGATAACAAAGTATTGATTGAACATAATATGTCTGGTAGCTGATGTTAACGACTGTTGTTAACAAAAATTGTCGATGATTTTACACACTATAAATGGCGCGTATGCTCCCATTACTTTTCGACTGGTTAATTCACCGGTCAAAATATACTAAAATTGGAACGATACAGAGAAGATTAGCATGGCCCCTGCATTAAGGATGACACGCAAAATCGTGAAGCGTTCCGAATTTTTTATTTTTTTCAACGATGATGACCTTGATTATCACAAATTCCAAATTACTTCTTTCACCGAAACGATTTCCACACTGTTTCCATTCACATTCCAGCCGAGCATGATCCCGAATCAATTTCAAATGACCATCGACAGATAAGTCTCTCTGCTTGACGCCAAAATCTTTCTTCTGAAAATTTACCGTGAATTTCATTAGTTATATTTGATGTTTTTGGGGGTCCAGTGAATCGAGTATTTGAAAATTATACTCTGACGCCAATTCATCTTGGAAATTATTAAGAACTATTACAAATATTCCACCCATATTTGCGGCGTAATCCAAAACCATTTTCGGCTTATCAACTGATACAACATTTCCACTGCGTAATATTCTGCGGGCAGCATGCATCGTTGTATCTTTTCCATATGCAACGATTTATTTTGATCGTACATAAATCATAATTTTCTTGATAACTCTTTAAAATTTGGTCAATAATTGGCAACAACAGTTGTCAGTAATTTTTTCAGATGTTGGTTTCAGTTAATACTGATCGGTGTTTGGATTTCACGAGTTTTTGAAATAAATAAATACGTGTTCATTCAATGAATAATGCCATCTGTCGATCTTTCATTCGTAATTGGATTGAATTGAACAAACCAGTTTCAAATTCATTGCTAATCAATTTTGCTTTTCATATCAAAAAACAATACACAAACGGCAGAATCGCAAACCGAGGCTGAGGAATTCTGTAAATCCAAAGTTACAGGATATCATCATACAACAGATGCGCAACAAGATCATCATCGATTGCCAGACTACACACATCAAGGATATGACGCCGATGATGCAATGCTATAAATGTTACAATCATAAAATCGGCTACTGCCATGTACCAGATCAGATGTGTTTCCACTGCGGAGAATATCATAACTTCAACTAATGCCCAAAGAAATCAATGCCTGCCACCTGTTTCAATCTGTAATCTGCATCCGGTCTAACATCACCAATGCTCCGCCACACAACAATGTCAACATCAATCAAGAGTGAAATCATCAGTGGTGCAAACAGCAAATGGTTTGCATAATGTTGTATTATTATGCACAGAATACGATTAACATTATTGTAGCTTTTCTGGTGTCGCACGTATATTATTATTAATTGATCATAAGTCTTGATGACCATGAATCATGAATGAATGAATAAAACAAAACAAAACATTCATCAATCAATCAATTGGACTTTATTTGAAGAAAAAAAAATTCACCGGACCCTGCCACCAAATTCAAGTTGAACAATATACTAACTGAAAATTTTCAAAATGGCCCACCAAATGTCTCGCAAAATGAAACAATAGACTAGAATCAGTACAGTGACCATAGAAAGTGTGTCCACCATGTTCACTTGGGCACCAAACCTCGACTTTTTGGAAAAGCAGTGTCCGGTCTCTGGTTTAAATTCTGTTGCTGCAGTTGCTGTTGTTGTTGTTGTTGTTGTTTGGTCAACTGTTTGCGTGTGCTAGCACGTTTGATGTCGAAAAAACTGTTAATACTGTCAATGTTAATGTTATCAGTGGAGCCGGAATCGCCGACATTCTGCCACTCATTCTCATCATCGTCCAGGTAATTGTCCATCACAGTCAACGATCGTCGCATCCGGGGTGGTGTACGGCCAATAGTCAGCTGGTTCCAATCGTAACCTTTTGACAACGACGACCACTCGTTGGTGGATGCTTGATGTCGATCTCGATCTCGGCCACGATGCAATGTGGTGGCCGTCTTGGCTCGATTCTTGTTAGATTCACTAGTTTCGGCTAAATTACTGTTCAACACAAATCAATCAATCAATCAATATGATAGTCAACAATCAATGATGAGCTTACAAAATTTCAATTTGCACATCACCATCATCGTCATTATGGTCATCATCATCCATCACATGGCTCAGGTAGTTGGATGTGGTCGATTCGGGCATAAATAATCCAAGTTTGTCGATTGCATTGCGTTCGAATGGAATGTCAAAACAACGATTCAACAGATTCTCATCACTTGTTGTTGTTGTTTGATCCGAATACGAGGATGAGGGCCGGCAATAGATTGAAGATGCCGTACAAGGTCGTGACTCATCACCAGCCATATGATCGCTCATTGATTTCATGTGCCATTCGTGGTCATTCTCGTCGTCGTAGTAGACTTTGCGAAGAAATCTTGTCTTTTCGTATTCCGGGATGAAATTGTCAATCATCAGATATCGCAGTTTCAAATCTCGTATCAGATCGCTCGAGATGCGTTCCAACTCTCGTCGATCTTCCGAATGCGATTCGTGCAGATCTCGTATTTCCGAGTTGACAGACTATAATTTAAACAAAACGACAAAATTACAGCAAACAAACAACAACAAACATGAAACGACCGAACCTGAAATTCCTTGACCACCTTTCGCAGCTTTTTCCGCTTCATTTCCACTTCTTGCTGCAGCGAACTGAATGTTTCACGCACTTCTTGGGTGGCTTCTTCGTGTGCTTCCAACTGTCTGAGCATCTGCCTTTCTCGCTGTCGTTGTTCCCGCAATTGGGCCATTCTCTGTTCCAGTTGTCGTTGCTGGTCATTCGTATGATCCACAATGTCTTTGCCGCCCACCAACATTTTGCTTTCCATAGCTCTGATTTGAGCCTGCAGCTTCTCGGCCGCCTCTACGTCAATCTGTTCGACCACTGTCACTGCCATTGTGAGTGACGATGCTTTTTTCTGTTTCCGTTTCTCTTCCAGTTGCGTCCGTAGTCTCTCAATCTCGGCCTGAAACTCTTTCAACAAAGTATCCTTGGGGTTTTCATTGACACGTGGTTTGTTTTTGATATTTTTCGCTCGATTTGCATATCGAAGCGTAATCAGCGTTTCCTCATAATTATAACCGGCCGGACCAATGTTGGCCACCATCACGGTGCGGGCGTTGCCACCGAGACTGTCTTGCAGAATTCTGGTCAATTTAGAATCTCGGTAAGGTATGTGTGTGGAACGGCCATCCACCAGAGCAGAAATGACGTTGCCCAGCGCCGAGAGCGATAGATTGATTTTGATTGCTTCTTTCTGTCGTTGGCCCACCGTTTTGGTCTTGATCTGTCGTTCACTGCCAGCCAAATCGACCAGATTCAATTTGCCCACCCGGATATGTTCGGTGGCCATCGAGTCGTTTTTTTCGATATGCTCCACCGTTATCATGAAGATTGCATGCGAACGAGAACTGTGCTCGTTCATGTTGGTGGCACCAACAGCACGATTATGACGACCTTTGGCCAAGCACTCGTTCGATTTCGGCCACGTTTTTGCATACGAATGAGGACAGATCTTTTACATAGACACCGATATCGGAACGTTCACGAAGCTCGAGTCGTTTGTTTGCATTGGTGGAAAGCAAGTCTCGAATTTCTTCCTGATAAATTTCTAGATTCAAACAAAACTGAAAATGGTGAAAACTCGTCATTCACTATGAATGATATGTATGTACCTAGATACGAGCTTCGAACCAGAAACTGTTTATGCGATGATTGGCCAATATGGGAAAATATGTGCACAAAAGAACGCGCTATGACACCAGGATCATCGACCACACCCTCCATCGTGTATGTTTTGCCGGTTCCAGTCTGTCCATAGGCAAATATAGTGCCATTAAAGCCATTCAACACCGATTCTACTAGCGGATGACAGACATCGGCATAGATTTCCTCTTGCTTCGAATCGCAGTCATAAACCGTATCAAACGTATAAATCTTGACATTATCTTCATTGCCATTGGCTTGTGATGATGGTGGTGTCACTGGCGGCCGATGCAACTGAATGGTACCACGTTCACAGTTGACTTTGACCACTTTTATTTCCTTTTCTTGCTTTTCCTTTTCAGACAACGGTCGACATCGAACCACCACTTTTACACATTCCGATCTGGAATGTCCAACAGTTGAACTCTTGAGTTGATTGGTGGTGGTATAGAAAAGAAAATAAATGATAAATGATTATTATTATGAATCAATCAATCAAACAAACAAACAAACAATCCAAATAAACATACGTTAGGCTTCATTGTTGGTGGCTCATCGTTTGTGGAACCAAAACAACATTTCACTATTGTTTTCATTAGGGTATGCGCTGCTGTTCCAGAAAGTATCCACGGGAACCAGAGTCTCTTGCATTCATGCCTCTACTATAGTATAGCATTACTGTTACAATAGACTGATCCAATGTGATGAAATTATAAATCCAGTGATTGCTCGGCAATCATCACCATTGTGCAAGCATTGAAACGATTCAATTCAATTGTGAAATCCACCTCACCATCCAATTCAATCGAGTCAACTGTGGTACGGTGAGAACAGTTATGTTATTAACATATGATGTGGCACAAGTTGGACTTATCCTTCCCGATCACAACACAGTATCATTGTTTCGCTTGTTGATTGTTGATAAAGATGCATTTTGGCAACAAACAATCAACAATCATCATCTTGAATCGGGCAGCATCTGCAACGAAAAGTGAATGAATGAATGAATGAGTGAATGGTTAGAGTTCACCGACCGACCGACCTATTCGGTCAACAGCGATAAGACGAGTTGCCGAACTAGGTCACACTACCAAGATGTTTTGGTCATTGTTGATGATGATAGCATCGGCCAGTGCCGGAAAAAATGTTACTTTTCATTTCATTTCATTTCAGTTCAGTTTTGTTTTGTTTTGTTTCCAATGCACACACTTTCATGTGGCGAAACTCGTTTCTCGAATTTAGCATCGGTTTTGAGCATCTTCCAAAAGGGGGAGGGGGAGAAATGGTTACTTGTTTCCTGCATCTGTGCGCGTTGGTTTTTGCAAAAAGGCATCACACACCACACGATGATAATCACGGTTGGACAAACAAACAATGTTTATTCAGTTTCAGTTTATATTCAATTGTATCCGTTTTGCGTTTTGCCTTTTTGTTTCTGGCTGATCCATCCATCTCATCGCGATCACTTACGATCAAGGAGAATTATTCTTGATGATTCCAAACCTGTTTAAGCAATTCAGGAATCATGCTTTTCACTCTCTCACACTCTCTCCCTCGATTTGGACATTGAACAAACAAACAAGCAATCACTTGCAAAAACTTGCAAAACAATGGGCACAATCCAAAAACCATATGAAAAGCATAATCAACTGCAACATGTCGTTTACCTTGTTTGCCACCAACAATGTGTCAATGTCCATCCAATCCAAACATTATTAGTCAAGGAAATTTACATGCACACACACAATCAATGGATTCAAGTACTAAAATAGCCTAGAAATCAATAATTCTCATCATCACAATCATCATCATCACCATCATCAGCCATATTTTTTTCTTGCAGATTTGGCAATCGATTTGAATGAATGTTTCAAAAACATTTCGTTTTCAAAAATAAATTGTCGATTGTCACTTGCATATTACACATTATTATCATCAACAAGCAATTCAATTCATTTCAATCATTTTATCCTTAATGACTGTCGAAATTCAATTCAATGTAAAACAGAAACAACAACAACAACAACAACAATCGATTCACTCTATCAGTGATGATTGATCATTCAATTGCCTTTTGGCATTTGGCTCACAAACCATTTCTTATTGTGTGACCAAAACTGACTGGGATTCAAGCACTTTTTCTCTATTTTTTCACTTTTATCCACAACAAAAACAGCAACACACACACTCGTATCTCGTTGTCGAGAAAAAGATTTTTACTTGGCCATGTTCACTCGAAGTTTGATGCACAATGTTCAAGTTGTTGGTTCATGTTTGATCGACCAACGATCCGCAGCAGTGCAACAAGCCGTCTGTAAATCAACGACCGATAAGGGTTGTTTTTTCTGTGTATCTGGTAGTAGTTGCCAATATCCGCATATCACACACAGTGCCATTTTTGGTTTATAGTCTCAATTTATTTGCAATGATTTGATTGATTCATTTCATTTCATTCTCATTCAACACAGTCACTCAATTCAAACATATATTTTGACGAAATGGCCTCCATCTCGACACCACCAACATCCACCACCACCACCACCACCATTGCACTGGACAATGTTGTCTCAGAAGAGGTATTTTATTTTTTTATTCAATTTAAATCATCATCATAGTCAATAGATAATAACCAACTACTGTAACCCCGAAACAAAAGGAATTTGAAGATGCAATCGACGAAAACATTTCCAACAGCGATGATAGCGGCCACTCAAGTCAAATGACTTGTTCGCCCGACAATTCTGTATCATCCCATTCTAGCGATGATGATCTGACTGCCAACGCCGAGATTATCGACCAATTTCGGCCATCGTTGGAGGAATCGCTGGCCGATATCGATCGCTTACTTCACATGGCATTGGACAATCGGTTCCACGAAGCATATGAAGGAACGGAAAAATGGTCACACTGCAGCCTCTATCATGCATTGGGCCAAGGCACGCTCTCCTTTCTCAAAGGATGTCTCACACTTGAAAGGGTTAGCCAAGTTACCATCAGTTGAATTCCAATTGAATTGAATTGAATTGAATTGCGAATGATAATCATGTCACAATTTTTTGATCTACAGCCAGAGATTCAGACGGCGTTGGACAATCTACGCAACTGTATGGACGTCTGCCAACGCGAGAAACGTTATTCAATGACCAAATTGGTATGGAGACCAAATTACAACAGCTACACTGATGGTAACACTGGATGGAGAGAATAAAAAACACCGAATTAATACATTACTATTCTATTATTTATCAACAGTGCAAATTCATGCCGAACTATGCTATGCCGAAGCGTTACTAATGACTGCCTTGATGACCTTTCTCGAAGACCAGAATCTATTGAATCTGGTTCGTGGTGCATTCCGCATCCGAGCCTGTTATCAATCATACAAGTAAATGTCTACTCTATCAAAAATTTCAAACATTTTCTCACTAATCAACCACACAGGGAATGCTTCTATATTCTCAACAATCGAACAGAATGGTCAAGCGAATATTCAAGACTTCACTTTGAATCCGGCGTTCGATTGGGCATCGGCACCTTCAATCTGATGATATCGCACATGCCATCCAAAGTGCTGAAATTGCTCGAATTTGTCGGCTTCTCTGGCGATCGACAGCAAGGCCTGCGAGAGCTGAAAGCATCCACATTGTTACAGAATGGACTTCGTCGCCCGTTGGCAGTGTTGATCATGCTAGCATACCAATGCTATGTGGAGCACATCTTTGGTATGTGTATTTTTATACAAACAGTCATTCAACTCAATCATTCAATCAATTTAGGTCTCGGCGATGGTGATATGCAATGTGTCGATACTTGTCTCGATTACGGTCTATCTGAACATCCTGATGTATGTAAATCACATATCAATTTATATCAATATATTAATCACATGAGATGAATCCATCATTCAATGTTCAATACTAAACTGATACAGGGGGCCTTTTTCCTGCTGTTTTTGGGTCGCAAAAAACAACTCACAGGACAAATCAACGAAGCCATCGAAGCACTGAAAAGATGCATATCCGTCCAAAATGAGTGGAAACAATTTCACAACATTTGCCACTGGGAATTACTCTGGTGTTATGCGTATGTGTTATCTGTATCTGTGTGCATTCCACACTACATCATAATGATAATAATCACTAATCATTAATCACTGCACACAGAGTTCAATGTGACTGGATCAATGCATCGAAATGTGCAGACATACTACGTAAACAATGCAAGTGGTCACCGGCAGCCTATACTTATCAATATGCCACATTCTTGTACATGATCATGGTCGAACACAATAGGCCAGAATTGCAAGCAGAAATTTCACAGCTCTTGAGACAAGTTCCAGATTTACGGGTCAGGTTCGCTGGTAAAACGGTGCCAGCAGAAAAATTTGCCATCGTACAATCGCAACGATATTTCAATCACAACAATCAATTGGTCCTACCAGCAATCGTGAGTATAGATAGCCATATTTGATAATAACAACAACCACCATTATCCATTTGATGCAAGGAATACATGTACATTTGGAATATATTCGCTGTGATTGGCCAATCTCCACATTTGCTGAACCCGATCCTGGAACGAGTGCAAAAGTATGAGCAAATTGAACAAACAAAACTGACACAACCCGATCAGCCATTGGACGACTATTGTCGATGTCTCTTGCTCAAAGGAATGTGTCTTCGACATCTTCAACAACATTCACGAGTGAGTATCTTGACTTGCTATCAATTCCACAATTCACTCTCTTTTTGTTCACCAAAAATCATCTCCATCAGTCCAACGAATGCTTTCTCAAAGTTATCGACTGGTAAGTGATTTAACAATCAAACAAAACATGAACATGACTGGTTCGCATTTGTACAGCAAAGAACGGATTGAATCGAGCACGTATCTCATACCGAAAGCCACACTTGAATTGGGACTCAATCATCTCAAATTTGGATCGCTCGCTGAAGCCAGGCGATGGTTGGATCAGGCCAAAACATATTCCGGTTACACCTTGGAGACGATCGTACATTTTCGCATCCACACTGCCATTAGAACGATTAATAATCAAAACAAATCACAAAACTTGCCTGAAAATGATCATGACGATGCTGCATCCAACAAAGGCGGCATTCGTACCATATGGAGTGAATTGTCAAAACGTCTCACTTTTTCAGACCAAAATGTTGACGATTCGTTTGATGCACAGACCAAATTCTAGAATAATACTGTTGTGCAATCATCATTTATTAATTGTTGTCGTTTATTTTTTACTCTATAATAATTGTCGTTGTTGTTTGATTATTAAATGTTTATGATGATTTATAATAATCACATGGTTTGTTGAACGTGTTCTATGAATGTAGTCCACAATTGTGTATTTCATCATCATTTCAATTTCAATATTTCAATATTAAATAAATCAACAATAACCACAACAACCATTGTAATATTGCTAAAAAACATGGAACGAAAACGTTTAAAAATCCTTTTCCTATCATCCGATGGTGCTGGCCACATAAATGCATGTGTGGGCCTTGGCCAAGAATTTGCCAAACGAGGTCATAGCGTCCATTTCTTCACTAGTCCAAAAAACGTTGGCAATTTCGAAAAACTTGGCTTCAAAGAAATCCTCTTGGAAATCAAACAACATGATGACGATCAGAAGCAAGATTCAAGTCAATTGAGAAACAGTATCGTCAAATCGGATCTTTTAGCCGATTTATCGCCCTACGATCAGCTGGATGTTTTTGACCGTCACAAGAATAGCGATTTTTTTGCCATATCAATGGTTCAAGAGATTGTTAAAGTTCACCAACAAATCAAGCAAGTGATCGAGGACGAAAAGCCCAATCTGATCATTGTCGATTACATATTGGTGGCGCCATGTATCGCGTACGGAAATGTTCCATGGGCATATCTGTGCAGCCACAATCCACTTCACTTGTTCAATTCTCAATTACTGCCGCCAATCACTTCGGGCTTACCCAGTCACGATCGTACAGGATGGGCCGATTTCTATGATAAATTCCGGCGAACCTATCATTCCAGTCTGCAGCATTTTCAAAACGTGTTGAACAAACATTACGGCTATTCACAAGTGGTGAACCAGGATCAATTTATATTGACATCACCTCATCTCAACATCTATGGCTATCCCGATGAATTGGACTATACAGACATTATCACACCGGCCGATAATGTCGTACGTTTGGACGCATTCTTTCGTCAATCCATCGACCACCACCAAGTTTTTGAGCTTCCCGAACAATTTAAAGCCAAATTAACTGCCGGTGATGGTCAAGTCAAATTGATTTATTTTTCCTTAGGCACGTTCGGCAGTACCAACGTGAAATTGATGCAGAAAATCATTGATGAATTGGCCACATGTAAACACCAGATAATCGTGTCCACTGGGCAATCACATCAACAATTATCACTTGGTGACAACATGTTTGGCCAATCTCATCTGCCACAGATGGCCATTCTATCTATGGTCGACTTGGTCATCACTCATGGTGGTAACAACACTGTGACCGAAACGATGGCCAATGGAAAACCAATGATAGTGATGCCATTGTTTGCCGATCAACATGACAACGCACAACGAATCATGGAGAAAGGATATGGCCATCGAATCAATCCTCATCGATTCCGGCCCAAAGAGCTGAATCTACTTGTCGATCAAATTCTAGCGGACAATACGATGATTGAACGCTGCGCAAAGGCTGGTCATCGTATTCGAGATTCAAATTCAAAAGCCAAAGCATGCGAAAAGATTGAACAATTGTTGAGTGGCCATATTCAATGAATGAATGAATCTATTTGTTTCATTATCATGTGAAATATGAAATAGTGTGTGGCATGTATAAATTTATACATGTGAAAAATAGAAAATAAAATATCATTCGCATACATATTTACAACAAAAATAAACACTCAACATCTGAAGCTAATACACGATAAAGCTACATAAACGGAATCATTATGATGATGGTGGTAGCACATCTACCACATCGGATATTATCAACCGCGGCTCAGGCGCATTCGATCCAACAACCGGTTGAATGCAATTGTTATTATCGTTATTGTTGTTGTTGTTATTTGCTCCGGCGGCTGCAGCCACGGCAGCGGCAGCTTCCATACCGACATCAACCACAGCAGTGATCATCTTCTTTACCGAACACTGATACGGTTTTATTAGGTTTGAATAGTTTTTCGATTTTGCATGCGTTAGAATGTGCGACTTTAGATTGGTCGATTGGGCAAATTTCTTCAGACAACCATCAAACGGACAGACATAGGGACGATCACCTATCATCATATGTAACCATTAGTCACCAATATAATAATGACACAAACAATCAAACATTACACACCTGTGTGGATCCTTACATGAGTTCGAAGATTGAAATCCAACGAGAATCGTTTTCCACATCCATCAAACGTACACTTTTGAAAAAATGAACCAATCAATAGAATAGAATAGACACAACACTAAACGCACCTGGAATGGCTTTTCGCCAGTGTGCACCAGTTGATGACGCTTCAGTTTACTGGATTCGACAAACGACTTTCCACATTCGGCACACACATGAACACGAGGGCCATGTGTGTGAAGATGTTTTCGCATGGCACTATTATCACGAAACATTTTCATACAACCTCGATGAGGACATGCTATCGTACGGAGTTCATCCTCTCCGCTTATCAATCTCCTAGTTGTGGTCATCATTGTAATGGAACCTGAACAACTATTCTTCACACTGAAACAAATCAATTACAGTGAGAGATTATTACTACTCTCATAAGACACACATGACATACGTGATTGTTTGATCTTGGTTTTGCGGCGGAGATTTCTGATAGAATCCGGATGGCAGAATATCTTCAATAGAAACATTGTTTTCATCGGCTCGAAAATCATCCACAAAATCAATGGTGGGCATATCATCTATATATTGGGTTAAATGATGATCACAGGAAAAAACACACAACACACATCATTATAATGAATCAATGTTGTTCATCATCATCATCATCATATATACCATGAGACCACATTGTCACACTGAATTCGCCTTCCAATGTTTTGATCTGTACTTGTTTCGGCTCCCATTTTCTGCTCGCTTTGAATGGCCATCTTTGCTGACTCGGTAATTGTTGTTGTGATGAATGATTCGTATCATCATCGTCACCATCACCACAATCATCATCGTCGTCGTCGTCATCAACATCTTCATCGACATTATCATCACCATCTTTATCGTCATCATTATTTGTTTTGACATTCTCTGCATTGTTATTTTGTTGTTGTTTATGTTCATCAATATTCGACAACAGTGGAGGAGAAGAATCATCGATTAGAACTTGCTCTGGAGCAGATGGATACAACAATAGGTCATGATCATCTGTTTCTTTCCAATTTGTCATGAATGGTTCGTTCAGAGTGACGACAGCAACAAACAAACAAACACACACACACACAACAATCATTATTATCACACACACAATGACGACAATTGTGCATCAACTTACGATCAAAATCATCATCCAAATGTGTGGTAAACGGTACGGCTGCAATATCAACATCAGTCAATGATGATGAGGATTCGATATTAGAATCGGCCATTTTTCACATGAAAAACAATGTGACACACAACTGACTGGACATGTGAGATATACAAAAAAGAAAAAACGAGGGAACGTAACAGTTACAACACACACACACTGCACGAAACAAAGTAGCCACTGTAATGATTATATTATTATCACTGCAATTCAGAATCAACAAACAATCACAATGAATGACATTTACAAATTTACAAATTCAAAATGAAACAAAATGATGATTCAAATGGATGGCAACAGTTTCATCATTTCTCAGCAATTCTTCCCAATCATTATAATGCTACAATTTATAGCATTGGCAACAATGCATAAAACAAAAGAGCTGATCATTCACAAACAATGTTTCATCGGAGTAGTAGCATTAGATTAATCATTAATGCATGCATCGATGAATATATACTTGACAAAGTTAAACACAGTCTGATAGATGGCGCTAGTGAATTTTTTCAAAATTTTATTTATATATTCTGCAATGAGCATAATGATAATGAAATGATGATAATATGTGATTTATGATTTATGATTTATATAAAATGACACATGTAGAGAATCAACTCATTGAGCTAAATTTCGACTTCAGGAAGACTTTATTTTTTTTTTGTTCAACATGTTTCAGCAAATGACTGACAGAAATCTTTCAACGAGCGTTCCAATGCTTCGAATGAAGGTCTGGCCGATGGTTCTCGTTGCCAACAGGTTTTCATCAGGCCGTATATTTCGTCGGGACAGCATTCCGGTTGTGTCAATGAATTGCCCTCGTTCAGATAACAAATCACTTGTTCATGTGTAAGGCCATAGTATGGTTGCAATGCATAGGAGAAAATCTCCCACAGCAACACGCCGAAAGACCACACATCGCTGGTGGTCGTGAATCGGCCATACAGTATCGCCTCCAACGGCATCCATCGTATTGGGAGAGCATCGTTGGCAATGTCCGCTCGATAATAATTGGCCGACTTTATCATACGCTGTGAAAGGCCGAAATCGGAAATTTTCACCACGAGTTTATCATCCACCAGACAATTTCTGGTGGCCAAATCTCTGTGCACGAAATGTTTGCTGGACAGATAAACCATGCCGGCAGCAATCTGTCTAGCCACCTTGACCAATTCTTCGGTGGTCATTTTTTTGGGAAAATCAACAAACGCTTCCTGGTTCGGGTGACGAATCACATAGTTTGCTGGGCCCAATGATCGCAAAAACGAAGCCAGATCACCATATGCCATGTATTCGACGAGCAGACACATTGGCTTGCCAAGTGCACAAACGCCCAATAATCGAACGACATTCGGATGGTCAAATTCAGACATGAGTATCGCTTCGCGTTCGAAATCCGATTGCATATCGATACTGGCTTCTTGACGCAATACTTTTACCGCAACCAAAGTGGTAGATTCTTGCTTTGGTTGCTCGTCATTATCATCATTATTATCATTATCATCATCATCATCATGTTTCAACAAGCCAGGTGCTTTTGCTAAAAATACACGGCCAAAAGCTCCACAACCGATATCGCGGACATAGATGATTTTGTTTCGAGGATATTCCAGCGGTTCGAGTTTAGGATTCAGTATGGCCGATGTACAATGATAGGTATTGTTGGATGGCAGTTTCGATAGATCCAAATCGGTGGGCAGACCGCCGCCGCCATTCACTTGCATCGCTGTCGTCGTCATAGTGCTTGCATACAGATTCATCTGATATCGAATTCGACGCACCATCATCGTGATGATGGACGTAACAATCGCTATGAACATGATGACCAATCCGATGCTCAATGGCAAGAGCAATGGATGTTGAGCATGCAACACACTGCTCAACGGTTTGCGAATCAAATTCATCATCACATAACTATACGATCGAAATGACATGATGATGGTTCGGTTATTGTTGCCATGAAGGATTCTGATGCTCGATTCGTAATTATTATCGTGGTCGTTTTTCGGTTCACACGGAGCAATGTCACAATGTTGCCATCGAACGTAGGGATCATTCGTATAACACCATGGTAACGGTTCTTCACCACCGGCATTACGACAATAGTTTTCTGAATGCCAAATCTCCTGGAATACAAACGGCGGTCGATTGTGTGCATGTGGCAATTGTGAGTCCCACCGTTGACACGGTATACCGTGTTTGGTGACATTCACAGTCCCTTGATAGAAACGACCACGACCTTCGATGCAATCTATGGTCGCCTTTTCTTTTCGGAATGTGGTCAGTTCGGCGTGTGTACATTGTTCAGGATTGGTGTGATTCTCGTGCGATGGCAACCACTCACAAACAGGCAGACGGAAATGGCCTCGAGATTTGAAATAGACACCTCTTTGTCGATTATCTTCGAGCAGTGCCCATTCTCGATTGCAGAAAGATTCTCTGATTGCGATACAATCTTCCTGACACAATGGTTTGGCCATCGGAAATTGTTTCGTCCACGAACATTGGGGAAAAGCGTAATGGCACAGTAGTTTTTCAGCTGCACTTTTACACGGCTCTTGTAGTGATGTGATCAATTCTTTCCACAGGTTTTTCACAATCTCCTCATTCATGTTGTTGTTGTTGGTAAAGTCTTCGGCATCGCTCACATTGTAAAAGACCAGGGAATTTTTCGCCACATGACCTCGACATATCTGACCAATGTATGGAGCACAATAGCCACTGGGCACTGCATTCGCTCTTTTCTTTTCTTCTTCCTCTTCTTCCAACTCGATGATCGATTCCAATTGTTCAGTCGGTTCTATATACGGTTGTAGATGATCAAATGTAATGATGATGATTACTATAATACATTCACACAAATCAAACAACAACAACAACATACCTTTGATTTCTTGTACGTAAATTTCGTAGATTCGAACGTCTTGCACTGTTTTGTTCAATGGAGTGAGAAAATTCGATGCTCTACAAGTGATATTCGTAGTGTTGGTCGCATTGAATTGTATGAAAACATTGGAATAATGTTCTTTATCGCCATCGATCAGCTATCGAATGTATCGGTTAGTTGTTGCTATCAATGTCAATTGGAAATCGATCCACCACTTACCGGTTGAAAATCATCACCGTTGAACAATTCAATCTTTGGAGCTGGTTGTCCTCGGGCATTGCATTCGATTGGAACATTTGTGCCTTTCGTAACATTGTACACGAATCGTTGTCCTCCCGTGATTTTGGCGCCAACTTGCAATCATAAATTGAACATAAATTCAAATCATCAATCATCGACCACCAATCACCAATCACTTACATTGAACCGACAGACGTGCCGGCCGTGATACGTCCAGTCCCAATTCATTACGAGCTGTACATTGATAGACGCCTTCGTCCAGTTCGCTCACATGATCCAGATGCAGACTCGATATCGACCCATTGTCCGGTATGTGGAGCAACGTTTGTCGATGACGTGACAACGGTATCGATTGGCCATTTCGTTGCCAATTTATCGTCAATTGAGAATCGTTGTTGGGCAATGTCCCACACGATAATGTTACGTTGTCTCCGGCAACCACTGTCAACGATTTAGGACCAAACTCAATGCTGGGCACTGGATATGCAAACATTGAACAACAAAATCAATCAATCAATCATGAACCAATCAATCATAAAACACTTGCATTCTTCGCCGACAACAACATCAATCGATAACAACAAAACAATCATCGTGACCATCGCCGTCAAGAAGATTAACAGTTTGATGACGGAAAAAAACCGTCGCTGAAAAGTCATTTCAGAAACCAACAATGACAACATCTGGATTCACTTTGACTGTGTGGATGATGCTTGCACAAGCATTTTATTCGGTTCGACGATTTTTAACAACAAACAAACAAATTGAATCCAAACACTCGAGAATTTTACATATTCAATGCACGTCACTTGTATTCTGATAATTTTTGAACAAAACACACACACACACACATGAATATTAACTATAATTGGTGAAAAGAGAGAATCGAATAAATTTTTCATTCAAAAACAAGTCATTGAGACTTGTTCTCTATAGACGATTCCGGCCGAATATAAATACCATCTGCCCATCTGATGTTTGCGTCAATAACAGCGATAACTGATGATGATGCTGCTGGAATAAACGAGCCACCCTTATTCATAGATTCATAGCTCGTACTACCGTTCCACACATAGTTGGCCAACTGTACTGTACTGGTTCGGGTCCAGGATTCACAAAGTTTATGTTGTTACTCACATACAACAACATTCGAACGGTGCACATACCATTTAAACGGTTTTTTCCCAAGCCCCCGCGACCACCAACGAAAGGCAGTCACTAACTTTTGATTGATTTGGTTGCCTCACTTGGTTTCAACAACAACAAAAAAAAATTCACATTCGTTGGTTTGATTTTACACGCAATCTACTGGGGATCGTTATTGTATTGTTGTGCAAAATCATGTTAAATGAATCAATGAATAGATGGATAGATGCATGAATAAATATTCCAAGTTGGCCATTCAGTAGTATAGGCATGTACCAGAATGAGTTTCATATATAATAGCCATCGATGGAGGGAGAAAGTATGCAATTCTCTTCTCTGTCATCATCTAATCTATTCAGTGCACTAGATTCACACAGGGGAAAAACAAATTGTGATCATTCGCTCGCTCTTTTGTTCTTCTGTGTGTGTGTGTGTGTGTGTGATTTAAGCCGTAAATAATGATCCAAACACTGAATCGATAACATTACAATCCGATTTGTTGCCCAACAAGACAAGAATTACACAATTGGCCTATTTTCTCATTCCAGCACTTCAATCATCATTACACTTGAGACAACAACTCCCAATTAGTGAATACCAGACAAACATGAAACATTCCAAATGGCTCATTGAATGAATTCTTAATACAATCCCAGCACAACAAAAGACACTTGAACCGACCTAAGGAATAAGGAGCAATGTCTTATCACCAAGTTCAAATTGGAATTTTGTAAGCAAATTGTTCTACTGTATACAGTTGAGACATGCGTAATTTTGCCATTCTATATATAGGCTTTGAGCAAAAAAAAAAAAATTGACATGGAATTTGCAAAATTTCAAGGCGCCAAAATGTTTACATAATGGTTTCGATTGCAATTTGCAACAATGGAACAAAAAATCCAATCGATCAATCCAGTCAATGAATGAAAAAAATCACAAATCAATCAAAACCAAAGAAAAAAAACAATTGTCCAACAATCGATAGTATCGATGATGGAATATACAGATTTTCTGGAACCAAACTGTTGCTCAATCTTTATTGATTTTATTCAAAATTTTCATTTTTATTGATGCATTGTTTTTATTACGTCGACCATGAACTCCTCTGCCGACCAGAATGGCGATTCCATTCCGACATCAAATTCATTGACCAACATTAAATCATCATCATCGGCTTCAATTCATGCCGTCGATGATGCACCTTATTGTGAGAATTGTTTGCAACTTGAATTCTTTAATATCAACTGCACAAAGTGCTTTGCTTCGGTTCACCATGAAACAACCAGCATCTCACAACTGTTGGCCATCGCCAGACAATGGCATCCTGACATTCAAACCAACATGGATCTGCTGATACAGCGAATGTTGGACAAGGGAGCACATCCCGATGACCGCGATCAATTGACTGACATGTAATTACTAATTAGTCACATATAATTATGTTATGTTATGTTATACAATTATTATACAACAACAACAATTTCAATTCACAGGACATTACTGCATTTTGCATGCAAATCAGGCGCCATAGGCATTGGCGATGCAGAGAAAAGTCTAAACTTGGTCGTCACTATGGTTGAAAAACACCAGGCCAATCCGAATTTGATTTGCAAATGGAATGACATGAGTGCATTGCACATAGCCACCTATTTCGATGTTGCACCCGTAGTCGGATATTTGGTGACCGTCGTCAAGCCATCGATTATTGATTATCCGAGCCGATATTTAGATTCGCAAACGCCATTGCATATAGCTGCAACAAATCTTTGTCTGCGATCGGCTCGTATTCTGCTATCGTCTGGAGCGAATATTCTACTCAAAGATGATCGAATGAAAACACCACTGGATTGTGTTCCCATTGAAATGAATGAAAATTCATCGATTGAAATGAATCAACCGGACATTTCATTGGAATTGAGAACGATTCTGGAAGAGGCCACTTTAATCATTTCAGGTGAATCAAACTCAACCGACGCTGAATGCATGAAAACGGCAAAAGTTGTACTATCCGCTTTGGGATTGGAAATTGGCGATCGAATCATTGTTGGCAATGCCAAAGTGGGAACCCTACGTTATTGTGGTATGTATTCTATCATCATCATCATCATTATTAATCTACCACCAATTTCAACTCATTACAGGACCCACACAATTTGCAACGGGAATCTGGACAGGCATCCAACTAGACGAGCCCATCGGCAAAAATGATGGCAGTATCGATGGTGTACGATATTTTGTTTGTCCACCAAACTATGGAATTTTCGCACCAATCAATCGCATATCAAAATTAGATACCGACGATTGTGATCTGATGATGATGATGATGATGAATCACAGTTTCGATTCGAAACAACACCACCATGGAAGACAATCAAACCACTACCATTATGGTTATAATCCAATGAATGTACATTCGAAAATCGATACAGGACTCAACACAATCTCTCGTTATAGCCATGTCAATCTTGCATTGTCCTCTTCACGGTCATCGATCAATTCGGAAGACGTTTGCATCGGCAGTAAGGTTTATCTGACCGACAAAAAGACCGGAATCATTCGATTCATGGGACCAACGAAATTTGCTCCCGGTATCTGGTACGGCGTCGAATTGACCAGGCCGATAGGCAAGAACGATGGCTCTGTTCAAGGTGTTCGTTATTTCACTTGCAAACAACGTTATGGCATTTTCGTTTCATTCGCTCGAATCGCTAAAGTAATGTCAAGTTCGAATAGCAAAAATTCTCCCGCACAAATTCGTTCATCACAAGATGTATCGGAATCAGAAGATGATTCAGATATGAGTCTCAATTACAGCGGCACCTCTTCACTTGATCTACTTCAATTCACACAATTGAAAAACACGGAAAGTAAACTGAATAATAGTAATCACCATAATAACAATAATAATGACGATCATAATGTCAAGAATCGTAACAAACCGGCCATCAGACGTTCAATGAGTCTATGTCGAAACATTTCTACCACCACCACCACCAAACGTCATTCGGATAAAGGTGAATACATCAACAACAACAACAACAGCAACAGCTTACCTCATGAGAAATCGTGGCTTCGAATCGGTGTCAATGTTCTCGTCAACGGTATGGTCGGATCAATTCGTTACATTGGACCCGTTCATTTTGCCGCCAAAGGCATCTTTCTTGGCATCGAATTGCGAACACCGAGTGGTAAAAATGATGGTTCAATCGATGGAAAACGTTATTTCACTTGCAAGTAAGTCTCTTTTTTGATAACAGCCACAATTGATAATATAAATGTGTTGTCTGAAAAATATAGGCCCAACCATGGTTTATTTGCAAGACCTAAAAAAGTGACCATTCGTGGCATAAACGCAGCAAAACTATTACCTGATTCTCAAAATTAGACCATTATTACTCACAATATTTGATATAGTCCTGTGATATATAATATAATAATTATTTTATGATATCAAACATTCACTCGTGATTAGATGACAAACAAATAATTTTTAAAAAAATTTGACTAGATCAATAAATACAAAAAATAAATTGCAAAAATTGGGCGATACAAAAATTTTGTTCAAAAAATTGAGATCAGATACGAGATTGTCGCCCGAAACCATTCATACCTTTGATTGTTGGACTGCTATTATTATTATTATTAGTAGTAGTAGTAGTACTCCTGGTAAATCCGGGACGAAAATAGGTATCCTGTAGAAGCGCTTGCGAGTGTTTCGCATTTGCAAGACCCATTAGTGGAGCCAATTTTTCGGTTAGTCGACAGAAATTTCGTTCCAATTCTTTGTGATATTCAATTTGTTGTTCTTGTTGTCCATTGATGAGTTGACGATTTTTGGTCAAAGCCTCACCGCATCTATCATCGCAAACATCAGAATTTAAACCAACTATACTATACTAATCAATTTTGGCACAAACCTGGCACAAAAATCTTTGAATGCCACTCGCAGACTATCTTTCAATGGCAAAGTTGGTCGTTGATAACCAGCCGGTATATTCGGCTCATCACTCAGGAATACAAAGGCAATTTCGGCCGGACCTTGATTGACGGTGGTGCCCACACAACCCTGCAGTACCATTTGTAATATTTTAGCATCCACCGGTTCTTGATTGGCTGCATGGGCCAATTCAGTGGTCTTTTTGCAAATCTTCAATGGCCACCTCGATCGGCAGCAATGAATGTTGATGTCGATTTTTGACCACTATCCTGGTCTTTACATATGGAAACGCATGTTCCACCGAAAGAATGGTCTTGCGTTTATATTGTTCATAAAGCTGTCCATGTGCTCGACCATCCATCGTGAATGGAGTGGAATAAATGAATCGTTCTATCAATGAATGATTGGCATGAAAAATCATGAGTAGAATCAAATTCAACAATCAAGATAATAATAACATACTGATGTTGTAGTTTCGTTCGTAACAAGTTTTACGTGATTCCAATTCCCACGAATCAAAATACGGTTCCACATAGGTTATCTGAATGTACGCTGTTTTTTAGAGAGTAGAAAACAAAACAAAACAAAACAAATAATAACAACAAACAATCACTCAAATCAAACAACAAACCTTTGTTAGCATCCAATTTGGACATGTCCACATTGTTTGAATCCTTGATCACTTCGACGTTTTTGGACCCGAAACATTTGCCATAAAATGTTTCAAGGCGATTGGCAATTTCTGGCAATTTGGTGAGAAAAGGTTCTTTGTATATAAATTCCTTTTGATTGAGATCGTTGAAAAGTTTCCCATAGAAGCCGACACGAAAATAGGTGGCAAACACTCTCTTTCCTTCTTGTTGTTCAATCTTGATGAAAACCTTGTGCAGCCGGTCATGTATGCGGGACAATTCCTTGTAATTGTAATGAGTCTCATGGATGGGCAATAACAATTTGTAAATTTCATTCACAGCTTCATACATTCCGCTGACATCGAAATGTTCGGCCGCACGTTCCAGCAATGCAATCAGACCGGATTCATTCAATGCTGCATTCAGTGACTGTACGCCTTTTTTTGCTTCAAAATCCTCTTTGAAACCAATAAAACTCACTTTATCGATATTTATGTCCGAATTTGAGTGCAGACTTTCTTCAAAGACATTGGGACACACGCGTTGAAATGCAGCACAGGAAACGGGCAGATAACTTTTACGTGACATTTTATGCAAACACTCGGACACAAGTGCCGCTGCATGAACAAGACATTGTGCAGCTTCAACTTTTTGCGATAATTCCAAATGTTTTTTGGCCATATTCTCCAGCCAAGTGATTCGTAGTTCAGGTGAGTTCTGATAACCTTTGGCCACTCGATACATCAGGTCAAGCAACATTAATGAATCCTTTTCATATTCTTTCATCTGCATCGTGTCCGACAGTATCATGATCAGATTGTATACCAATTCTCGTACCTGATTCGGAAATTGTGTTTCCCGTACACTGTCATCATTCAAGGCATACAACAGAATGTTGTTCAACGCATTACGGATGTTGATTTCATTGAAAGTGAGACTAGTTCCAACCAGTTGACTCAATGACATTGTTATCTGGATTTTGATACGCGAATAATGGCCACTAGATTGATAATATTGCCGCAACAGTAGATAAATCGATGCCGATGCATTTGCTCGAATGGCCAGTGTTTGTGATGCACAATGTTTCAGCAGCAGGTAACATAGTTCCGAACAAAACTCTACATCTGGCAAACCATCGATAAAAAGTAATTCGGGAAAATGATGCAGGATAGCCCGTTGTGAATCGAAAGCGGCTTCCAACACTCGGCTACTTTGTTTCAACGAAAACAACTGAAGCAATGCATGTAATGCACTTGCCACGACAAATTCATCATTACCGTATTTGTTTTTCAAACATAAACTTGTCGACGATGATGATGTTGTTGTCGATGATGATGATGATGATGATGATGGATTGGCGATGAAACTAGAGTTGCATTTGATACGTTGTCGGAAAATGTTCACAATCAATGTGATTGAATCGAGCACTATCAGATTGATCATCGTGCATAGATGGCCTTCAAGGATAATTTCCTCTTCGTAGTTGACCATTTCATTGGTCGAATCATCATCATAAATGGAATGATGATATCGAGTTATGGTCGATCCACGTTTCCAGCGCAATTTCAAATCCCCACCATTATTTGTACTGTGGTCGGCTGGTGCAAAACTTTGCGAGTAATCTCGACGACGAATCAATTCTTTGCGAGCTGGTCCATTTCGAACAGCGTCGTCCAATTTCTGGAATGAATGTTTTCGTATATGTTTGGCACCTTGATATTCGAAAACTCTCATGGCTATTCGAAGCAATTCCAGAAATGCCAACAAACGTTCATTGGAAAATTCATTCAGATATTGAATGAACAAACCATGATCGACATTGCCGATGGTCCACATCAGACATGACAACAATGTCTCAGTGGCTTCTTTGTTGATTGGCTGATATGAAAGTGTTTGCCGATAATTGCTAGGCGATAATAACTTGTGGCCACTGGAACAACTGTTGTTCTGTGTGGATGAAGATGATGATCCAATGGCCATGGCGATTGAATTCTCAATGAACAATGATCCATAGCTGTCCAATTGATCGTGACGTAGTTGTGTTTTGGATGAATTGGCTATTTTTCGTTTACGACTTTCGCAAGCCGAATAGAAACAATTATCTTTCGTGTCGTGTAAGTGATCAATAACATCGATCATGATGCCAATCAGAGGTAAAAATAGACAAGCCGCTCGATGTCTGATGTTGACATCTATGAAATGCAAAAAAAAGTTTAAACAAATATATAAAAATTATATGTGTAAAAACTCACCCTTGAAACGATGATCCCAATCGAATGCATTTAGTATGGATTGTATCAGATCGGCAGCACGATTCTGGAGCCAGTCTTTGGGCATAGTGAATGACTCTAGTAGGACACAGAACACTAGACCAATGAGCCAATGTTGTCGTCGGTAATCATCAGTCAATTCGGAATAGGGTCGAATACGATCAAATATTAAATTTGAAAAAATGTTACTGTCCAACATTTCTTTGGTCAACGAAAAGGATGGTGAAAATTTGGCATTACAATTGTTGACATTGGAACTTTGTTCCAACGCAGCAAACAACGGCGTTCCGAATGCAAGATTAAGAGCGACAAAATGTTCGTGACCACAGATGATTCGCAGGAATGATACTTTCATTTCAAACAATTCGTCATTAATTTTCGCCTGTCGATTCTTGTCATTCGAGTCCATTTCTTTGTTACTGATCGATGATGACGTGGGAAAGACGGACACTGTTGAAGCGTTACTAATTTTAGTCAGATAAATTTTAATCACACTAAACACATAATGTCGATCGACGATTGAAAGAAGATCACGGATGAAAAATGCTAACGAACCATTAAGAACACTGGCCGAAAATGATTGATTCAAAGGTGAATGCACCATTGTTGTCACCGATTGCTGCTGATAATGATGATGTCTATGTTTGGCTCGAATTTGTTGAACCATATAATCACCAATTCTATGAACCAATCTGTTTAGGTTATTCTTCAGATATCGATCAACCGGTAAACGAGGTACAATTTTCGAGTTTGATGTCAACGAAACGGTGATGCACAAGCTTTTGAAAATCAAATCAAAAAACAAAAACGAATATTTGTACAGATTTTCCATGGTCGATTCGTTCGAATGTTCTTTAGACAGCCATTGCATGACAATCTCCTCGTGGAACGTTGATTTTGATATTTCTTCCTGGTTTTTCTCATGCGAATCACCGGGATGATGATGATGATGATGATGATGGTGGTTGTTTGTTTCTGGTTGTGGGAAAATTGCTTGATAGTGAATGAATGTGGCCACAATACCGGATCGCATGAGGTGATAATCACCGGCATAAAGTTTCGAGTTTATTTTGGCCACGATTGAAACCAATGTTTCGAATACTAATGATTTGAATTGTTTGGAAACTTTGTTCTTGAATTCATTGATGGTGAACAAAGATGATGGCGGTCTAACCATGAGCATTATTAATCGATTCAATATGATGTGAACAAATTTCACCAGCGAATCAATATTCGAATTCTGTAGACCAGTGATGGCTAGACAAAATTCTTCATACAAATTATCCGAATGTAACAAACTAGACATTTGATTGTGGCTTTCTAGCAAAGATGTGATTCGAAAAAAACGATCCACATGAGCATCTTGCGCAAATATGCTCGAATAAGAATCAATGTGAACTACAAACAATGGTTTTCGGTTATCAATCCATTTGAGATTGGCCATTGCTTCCATGTCATTCGGGTTGAGAAACGAATAACCGGCTGTAGGCATTTCCGAAACGATGGGCAATGAAAACGTTCCGGTTTGAAGACAATCATCACGTAGTAATGGTAGCCATGAATAGCCCACAATTTCATCGATTGGTACGTCGTTTTTAGGTTTTGTATGCACATGAATGAACGTGAACAATAAATGTGTCTGTTTATTCAGCTGTGATGGCAAACGTATTTTGAATTCTTCGGAAAAATTCGGATTACGATTGTGATAATTGATTGATGTGTATGCTTCGGACAAGTACTCTGGACAACTTGATTTACCGAAAATCACACACATGGCACTGAATTTCTCCTCCGATGACAGTATCTGTACTTTGACCGTTACATTTCGTGCTGAATTTTGTCTGGATGTGAAATTGACACTTCTTGGATACACATAAAGAAGATTACGATGTTCCTGGTGCGGTATCAATAGGTCTCGAAATTCAAGAATCTCTTTGATCGGACTGGCACGATCATCGGTGTACGGATGGAGACGAACCAATTCAGGATTGACGCGACATTTGATTGAATTCTCATCACGAATCGGACTAATGTCCAGTTTGAATGTACTGGGTATGTGGCGAACACGTTTAGAGTTGAGTGATGAACGTCCGAATTCGACCAGGAATTTATAGAGATCTTCATCGCTGAATTTTTCAGCCTCATGACGATAGAAAATTCTGCTTGTTATTGTCACCGGTTTGAATTGACTATATGCTTGACACAAATCTTCCGATGTCATCGAAGTGGATCGTTTATCCATCGTAGAATAATTCGATGTGGTTGAAATGGCCGAATTTGATGAATAATTGGAAATATTTGACGTCATTGTCAAATGCCTTTCGAGCGAACCTTTTCGCACAAAGCTGGATGTACATTCATTGGCGATCCTTTTAAGACTATCCAAACTATTCGAACTGTTACGGTTACCATTCAACATTGATTCACCACCTTCTTTATCGGCAGGCGTTGTTGCTGTAGTTCCAAAACAATTGCCCAATACATCGACCAATGGAAACACTGCCCAGGCGAAAAACATTCGATAACGGCCTAAACGTTCACAATTGTTTTTGATGGCCATTTTCAATTTTTCCATTTTGTTCGAATCATCCGGTGGTCGTTGGTATGTTTCAATCAGATCATTTATATCGCTCTGAAATATTTTCTCCAATTTAATCACAAAATACATGTCAGGACTAAGATGACTTAGGCTAAAAATGGCCGATTTCGATAATGTCGACAAATCTTGATACGATACATGCGATTGTAGTAAATGTTTCATTGATTCTACAGTACAACAACAACAACAACAAAAATAAAATAAAATAAAAGGTCATTGTTTTCATTCAAAATCCTGTACCTGAATTGAGATCGAAATGGAAATTTTCCGTTATTTTTCTCTTTGCTTTCGAATCATAGATTGCTATCGAAGCAAACAACGGCTCAATAGGAACATCCATTTCGAGTGAAAGGCATTTCAGTCGAAAGCGATAACGAGGAACATCGGATGGCGGTGATATCAATGGCCTGTGTTCAATGACATCATCTGACTGTTGCAATCGATAAAGACAAAATAGAGCAAGTGCATCGTTGTCCTGTTGTTCGGCGGTTAGGTCACAATTCTTCACGTGAACTTGAGTGAAATATTGATCATAATTTTTTTCCAAAATATTCTGTATATGAGCATCGGTGTTTTGAGCATTTTTGATGAAAAACAATTGTTTTCTATTCAAAATTGATTTATCATCATCATCATCATCATTAAGTTGTTCGGCATCGATAAATGTCCAGCTATTACGATTCTGGTGAAGGGTAATGTTATCACAAATATTTGGTTCGTTTTGTTCACTTGAATACTCTATGGCTAATGGTGTACGAGAGCCTCGTTCATCATCACCATCACCATCACCATCACCAACAACACCACCACCATCATCATTATCATCATCGGCGATAAAATCCTCTTCATCCGATGCTAATGGTGGTCGTATGGTGGATGATGATGAAATCAGTGATTGAGGACGAGGTGTATTCCTTGTCGACAATGTTGAACACGAATATATTGTGTTTGGTGTTTGTGATTCAATCACCGATAATGATTCATTATTTGTTCGCGATGAACATTTCGAATCCACTTCATAGTGTTGACGTTTCAGCTGTTTGAAACGTTCTTTTCGTTCCAATTTCAGATCCAATGTGGCGACATTCTTTTCATATCGTTTAATGACAATCAATGATTTCAGATTACATGCACCAATACATTGGATGTAGGGATCTTCGGATATTTTAAGATTATGGAATTCGGGCAAAGATTCTGGTTCTAATGTTCGTATTGGTGGTTGATATTTTTCAACCATAACATCATCAAATGGAAATAGTAATACTGAACGTAGCTGTTCGGCAATACGAGCCGAATGTTTTGCGACAAAATCTTCATAATCATCAATAGGATCGACCAGATCATTGATCCAAGTGTCACCATATAAACTGTTGTTTATTGAATTGATTGTCGAATTTTCTTCGCTGATGGCATTCTGATGACACAGGATTGTCATCATGGCTTTTTCATCAAAACAATCCTCATCACCGTTGCTATTGTTGTTGTTATTATTATTCGTGATAACTGATGCTGTAGTTGATGCGGCAGCTAAAATCTTGGCCAACCTATGACGAATATCGACATTGCTATCTCTGTACAAAAAAAATATGAATGAATTTGATCAACATTCTCTCAATCAATCAATTAGTGAATCTTACTTGATTATTTTACTGGCAAAAGCTCTACGGCCTGTCATCGACATTGTTTATTCATGGAAAAGGCTGGTAAACATTTAAAAAAAAAAAATTCTACAAGTTGTGTGTTACATGCCAATGATTTGTCATTCACAATATATTTCTGTATTTTGTTGCTCTTTCGTTTGCTGTGTTGTCTTTACCATCATTGAAATTAAAATTAAATTATTATTACAAAATTACAATGCTATTTGAAAGTGGCAGGCATAGTCAGAACACAATTGTCAACGATTTTATCATCACCGTCATTATTAAAATATCAGCCAAATGAACGGAAATCACTGATATTGATAAAAATTGTTATGGTTCAAGAATCACACATTACATGTTGGTGGATCATAAATTGCAACAGCATGTTTTGTGTGGTCGTCCTTCCAATGTTCGATTGAACGAATGATGAATGATTATGAATGGACATTGAATAAAATCATCAAGCAGCAAAGAAGACAACAACCAGATTCGTAGGCGTGTTTGAATCCAATATGAATGTGGAAAAGCGCCTCTCTCTCTCTCTCTCTCTCTTGATTGCTCTCTTGCTCAATTTCTTCGTTGTACACGCATCCACAATTCTATTCAAACAGTAAAGTTGTATATTAAATGAATATTCATCCAATCGATTAATTAATCAATCAATTAGTTGAATGACACAAAATCATCACCACTCATTGTGATACTAAACAATGATCATTTCGATGAAAGGATTCGATCCGTCTATTTCAACATGATGATGCACTCTTCTGTGGATACTGGATTCTGGATAATGTGATGATGATTGTATTTACAATACACAAACAACATTTACATTTAAAAGCGCGGTTTATATTCAGTCCAACAATTCAATCAAATGTCATCAAACTCGGAAAAAGACGATAGCCAAAGTGATGCTAGCGAATCATCGAGCATTAACGACAATGTTGAAAACGATGAGAAAGATAGCGGTAAGTTCAGATCGAACCAGATTGACACAATTGATTATCAATACATTGATTGATAGGTCCTGAAACACCACCACCATTACCGAACAAGAGACGTAAAGTGATTCCATTCGAAAAGATTTACCTGGATAATCTGCCACAAAGTGAAGCTTATGAACGTAGTTATATGCATCGAGATCCAATCAAATTTGTGCTGGTCGCACGAAACACTCATTTTATCGTCACAGCAAGCATTGATGGCCACATTAAATTCTGGAAAAAGAAAGCAATTGGCGTCGAATTCGTCAAACACTTTCGTGTTCACCTGGGCACGATCGTCGACATGAGCATCAATAATCCACTTGGCTCATTGTTGGCCACCATTTCTGATGATAAATCATTGAAAATTTTTGATATCATCAATTTTGACATGATCAATATGAACAAATTGGAATTTAAACCAGGCTGTGTTGAATGGTGTTATACAACCATGTCGGCCATGGGTGGTGTTCATGATCCATTCCCAGTCATAGCTGTATCCGATTCGGAATCCAACAAAATCTATACATTCGAAGCGACAAGTTCGACCAATCAACCACTACAGGTGTTGGATCGTATTCACATGAGCCCAGTAGTTCGAATGCGTTTCAATGCAGCTCACTCAACGATGGTGTCGGTCGATCAGAATGGAATGCTCGATTATTGGGGCACTCATCGCAGTGATTATCGATTTCCATCACAAATTGTTCGGTTTGAAAGTAAAATGGACACTGATTTGTATCAGCTGGCCAAATGCAATCAAACACCTCATGATATAGCATTCTCATTGGATGGACAACACATGGCAATGATATGTTCGGATCGAAAGATTCGTGTTTTCCGTTTCTTGACCGGCAAAATGTTACGTGTATGATGAAAGCCTTCAATCGATCACATTGCTACAGCAATCACAACAACAATTGCCCAATATGGAATTTGGTCGTCGTATGGCCATCGAACGTGATCTCGAGAAAAGTGAATCATTTCAAACGGAAAGGATTATTTTCGATGATTCTGGCTATTATCTAATCTATCCCACAATGCTCGGTAAGTAAAATAAGATCTATTCTACAATTTGTTCATTGTTATCGTCTTTATTCATTGGTTGTCAGGCATCAAAATACTGAATTGGTATACGAATAAATTGGTCAAAATGATTGGCAAGGGAGAAAATTTTCGGCCATTATCAGTTGCTCTTCATCAACAGATTGCCGATCTGAAAACAAGCAAAGGTGTATTGACTCCTGAGATGATTACAGCCAATAATCCGACACTTGAACAAGCAGCTCATTCCGATCCGACATTATTTTGCACCGGATTTCGTAAGAATCGATTCTACATGTTCACCAAACGAGAACCTGATGATTCGGCCATGAATTCTTCGGCAACGGCAGAAGATGGCGTTCTCACCGGATTAGAACGAGATGTATTCAATGAGAAACCATCACGGGAAGATATGATTGCGGCAACCACTTCGGAATCGAGTGGTGGACAAAAATTGTCCGAAAATGTTGTCATTCACACCACAATGGGTGATATACAGGTGAAATTGTTCGCCAAAGATTGTCCGAAAACGGTGGAGAATTTCGTCACCCATAGTCGTAATGGTTACTATAACAATCACATATTCCATCGTGTTATACGACAATTCATGATACAAACGGGCGATCCCACTGGAACCGGTACTGGTGGTGCTTCCATTTGGGGCGCTGAATTCCAAGACGAGATAGTGCCACACTTGAAACATGATAAACCGTTCACATTATCCATGGCCAATGCTGGTCCCAACACGAATGGATCCCAATTTTTCATAACGGTCATTGCAACACCTTGGCTGGATGGCAAACATACAGTATTTGGTCGTGTCACCAAAGGCATGGAGGTAGTACAGGCCATCAGTCAGATTCGAACACATCCCAAAACGGACAAACCATATGATGATGTTAAAATTTTGAATATTCAAGTCAAATGAACAATCTGATTAGTTGTTGTGTTAGTTTTTTATTATTTATATATACTGTTCAATTGAACAAAATTAAATCATCATCATTTCATTATGTATTATGTATGACTAGATTCTTTCAATTTATCCATCACTCATCATTCAATCGTGTCGAACGCGGCAAGACCAAATTGTTCGGGTCGAAATTGTTCCATTGAATTCAATATGATTGATGGTTGTACCGATGATAAACTATTACGATCCAATTTTGGATCCGGTATGAAAACCGTCTGACAACCGGCTGCTATGGCTGAACGCAATCCGGTGGGTGAATCTTCGAATGCCAATACTTGCTGCGGCTGCAATGAATGTCCATTCTCGAAACGTTCAATACAAACCAGATAAGGTGTTGGATGTGGTTTATTTCGTTCGCCAACATCTGGATCGGAACCAGCAATTACAAAATGATGAAACATGTTTCCTGGACGAAAGAAATCAGTGAATGGCTCTGTCTATAATGAAATGGATGAAATCATGGACATTAATCGAGTGCACTCATGATAATAATAATCACATATCACAATCACATACTTTATATCGAAATGTGTCTTCCATACAACCGGTGCAGACAGCCATCGGGATATCATGTTTGGCCAGATGTGTGACTAGCCGTTTGACACCGGGTAATAATTGTACTCCACATCCATCGATTTCACCTTGTACATAGGATTTAAAACGTGATAAAACTTTGCCAATGTATTCGGCAGGTTCGATTGGTAAGTGAAAATGTTCAATGATGATTGGAGCAGATTTTTGCAAATGCAAACCCAATGTTTTCGATCGAATATCCCAATCGAATGATTTGCCAAATTCATTGAGAACATCGTTGGTCGATCTGAAAAGATGTTTCTCCGAATCAATCAATGTTCCATCAAGATCAAAAATGACATGTGTCACCGGTCTCATTGTTTCGAACAATTGTCCAATTATGTTCTTCTGTTGAGAAATGATCATCCGAAAATGGTAAATAATAAAACTCAATTTGCAATGTACTGGTGGCAGATTTATATTCAAATTACCACCATTATCATGATTCTTCTTTCAATATGTTCGTTTTCCACGTATATATAGAATATTGTGGTCGGTGTCAGTGATCAATACAAAGTCATATTTGGCAATGACTCCAGGCTGTGATATGTGGAAACTATGTCTATGTTGTTGGCTATGTTCAATTCGGATGCTGATGTCATAATCAAGCAAAGGAAATGAATTTCTCGATAAAATGTCGAAACTTTATCAAATTGACGCAACAAACAATTAGTTCGACCGCTACTATTTGTTTTCGAGGTGAAACGTTAGAAACGTTCCCGGAAAAATATTCCGGATAAACCACGACCATTTTACAGAATATATGAACAGTGTTTCAGAATTACATCTATCGTCTAATTTCGTTTTTATAAATTTTTATTCAAATTCTTTTTCAACAAATTCTTTATGACAAGAGTTATAGATAAAAATCAGTTCATTTTCAATAGATTTTTAGAACCATGGTTGTTTGATTGATCAGTTTACGGAAAATTATTGAAATTTTGTAGAAATACTAAACGCGTCAAAAGCGAACAATGACTGTATCGAACATTTATATGAATGGTGCCAAATAATTTGGCTCGTAGACGGACACACTCACAATCGGCAAATATATTGTTAAAAGGGGAAACGAATTGTGGCAAACATGTTTCGGTTTGGAATCTAATTTCTTCTTCAGTTTACTCAAGATTATCATCGCACAGTGTCAAGGTCAACATCGGCATCATTGCATTTCTGTAGCTGTCAATTTTCCATCAACACGTGTGTGTTTTGTTGTGTCATTTGACAGTTTTACAACAAAAAAATTGACCATTTTTCATCATCCAATTTTATTTTATAAATCATGGACAAAATAGCTTTAACACGATTAAGTGAAGAACGAAAAGCATGGCGAAAAGATCATCCGTTCGTAAGTATTGTTTATTTTGAAATTGATGATGATAATCAACATTTCAATTATACAGGGTTTTTTCGCTAAACCGGTAAAAAATCCAGATGGTACATATAATCTACAAGAATGGGAATGTGCTATCCCCGGAAAAAATGGAGTGAGTATTTTACATCTCTCTATATATATAAATGACTACTGAAATTACTGATGAATTAATGTTAATCTCGAATAGACATCATGGGAAGGTGGTCTTTATAAGCTTAAAATGTATTTCAAAGATGATTATCCGTCCACACCACCTAAATGTAAATTCGAACCACCATTATTTCATCCGAATGTATATCCAAGCGGTACCGTATGTCTATCATTATTGGACGAGGAAAAAGATTGGCGACCATCCACCACAATTAAACAGATTCTAATCGGCATACAAGAATTACTCAACGAACCCAATGTTAAGGATCCAGCTCAAGCTGAAGCATACACTTTCTATTGGTAAGATTTGCCTGTTCACACACATTGTCGATCTAATCAACAATTATCTATCTATCCATCTAGTAATGATAAAACCGAATATGAACGTCGTGTACGTAATCAAGCTAAAATGAATACACCGAAAAATTAAGCATTAATCAAGTGAAAAACATTAAACATTTTAACATTCTAACACATTATTTTATTATTATTATTATTGTGTGTTAGCAATTATCAAATTGTATTGGTAAAGTAATAATAAAAAACAAAAATAAATTCATCATTTCCAAAAATCTGGATTCTGTTTGAAATTTCTCATGAATTTGCCATACCAATCATTGATTGTTGATAATGGCACTAGTTGTTGATTTGGATTGGCACCAATGTTTGTTGCAAACAATTGTAAACTATTCGAAAATGATGAACAATAATTGTATAGATTTTCGGCCATTTTTGTTGCAAATTGTTCCAATTTGGTGCCCAGAATCGGCTGTGGTCATTGTGGATGGATCAGCTGTCATTTGAGCAACCGATATTTTCGATTCAATCGATATGCCAATCTGGGCAACATGGGAAATGATGGGCTGTACATATCCAAAACTACCACCACCACCACCACCACCAGCAGCAGCAGCAACTAATCCAGATGAACCTAAATTCAATGACTAAAACATTAATCATTCAAATTCATTCGATATAAATGATTGATTACCAGTGGTCATTTGTTTCAATTTGTTAATTTTGAAAATTGCCGATGGTTTTTCATTGCAAATATAGCCCAGATATATCCATGATGGTGGTGATGATGGATCGGGAAAGCTAAAAAATACTGCACCAGCCATATCGGCTGGCAATGGTACCATGCCGGTAAGGAAAACAACAATGTGATTGATAGCATCAGCATTCGGTATCGTTATTAGAAATTTGCTCGGTTCCACTTGTTGAAAATCCGTTTGCACCTAAATGAATCCAGTCGTTTTATGGATGTTTTATATTCATGTTTATCAACAATTATCCTACCAAACGTCCAGATACAATCACGGCGAATGTATTTGCCATTTCATTTAGTTAATTGTCGTTATCGTTATTATTTGAATAAAAATTGAAAATAATTTCAAAAAACAAACACATTCGGCCAGCAACCAATATTGCAATATGGAAATGCTCATAAATGATAGGATAGGATACAGTGCTGCTTCTGCTAACCACATGATTTTTTGCAACACTGCACACTGTGAATGTAGCCAACTAAGCCAAATTATTATGATCTCGTTTTGAAATATTTTGGTTTCAATTTTCCAAAAAACAACTGAGTTGATCATTGTTGCATGAATCTATTTTGTTTATTTTCAACATTTTCAATATTTCGTTAAGGTGACCATGGATCTGGCCGTCAAGTAGAGATTTTTCCGATGGTAAGCAGCCCAAAATATAGTCAGATATCGATATCCAGTTGTAATTTTATGCAAAGAAAAATGAACAATTCCTGAAAAAACAACAGCCTGACAATATATTTTTACAGACAACAAAATACTTCAATTTTTATATAACATAATAAAGTTTCATTCTAATTCTATTTTGCGAACCAAGTTTGTTATACAATTATCCCTATCTAAAATGACGATGATGACAACACCTACGCACAATTGTAGGTCATGTCATCGCTCGAGTACAACCTAAAACAAGTTCATAAATGAAAAATTCAATTTTTCAACAATCAAGCACATCGATTGGTAGTTGGTTGATCACGAAAGAGCGCGAAAATCATCATAATTGAATTGAATATATGAATTCTTTGCTCCTCAGATGACCGGCTAAATGGATACATAAATTGTACGAAAATCTCAAGATCAAGTTTTTTTTGTTGATACGTATGATGTATCCATTCATGTAACAACGATTCAAATACGTGTCCGAATTTGAAGTTTATCGTTGATGTGAATAACCCCGATCATTGTTGATCAATCAATGTAATGCTACTACTTGTACATTTTACTACTACTTTGTCAATACTTTATTCCGAACAGCTACTATTAATGCATCCGTATTAGCTAGCAGTCAGATAAATAGATATCTTCATTGATAGAAAAGTTCCACCACTCCTTTTCTAATATATATTTGTCCTCGTCTTGGATAATTTTGGTGAGCGAATGTGGATTCAATGATCATTTTTGGGTATACACAAAAATGATCATTTGATAATGCTTCTGCTTTTAACATCTTGGTATCTTGGTATCTTGGTGTATTGATGATCAAATGATATCATCATTCGACGATCGCATTCATTCATTCAATTAATTCATTTGATCTATTCTAATTCATTATGACGCTTGTGTTTAATTAAATTCAGCGATGCATTATTGTCAATATTGGATCAGCCTGAAAATTTCTCTTCGATTACCTCTGTGTTTTTTCGTCCGATGACTCTTTGTTATCAACAAAATCATCATTCTTCTAACCAATTCTCAGAGTCACAAAAACTTTGTTTCACATTGGAATTTTTTATCAATCAAAAGTTTTCAACAACAACAATAAACCAATGATCTTCAAATACTACCAATAAAAGCAATAAACATTTGTTATTGTCAGACAACAACAACAACAAGCAACAGACAAGTTATCTAATGATGAAAAATATGTGATCGCTCACATGAATGTATGATTAGTGCGTTCTCGTTTATTGTTGGTCAAATTCATTCAATAGTGATGATTGTCAATCCTTGCGTTGATTTTATCATTTTTCCGTATAGATAATCAATTAAACATTTTAAATTCAGTTGTTTGGTCGACTTTTTCAATAACATACATGCGACGAACATAACGTATTATCATCGTCAAAAAACGCAAAGGAAAAGGAAAAAACGTTTGTTCTATATTGTCGTCATTGAGAAGCTATCAAGGTATGGTGACCATTCGTTTTACACAACACAAGAGTAATGTTCTTCGTTTCGATGACGAAAATTGTGATACCGTTGATGATGTAAATCAGATGAAAGATTCAGTCATTTAACTTTGATAAAGATGATGTTATCATTGAACCATTGTCAATCGATTCTCCATCCAATAGTATAGTAGTTGGTTTTTATGATTGATGAGGATGTTTGACATTTTGACAATATTTTCTCTGCCAAGACCAACACTCGAATTGAAATGTATTGAAATGCATTTTATAATGTATGTATTGTTTTTGTTTTTGTTTATCGAAATCTTTATCTCTTTCTCTGATACGTGATGAATATTAATGACTAAATATATGATACAACCATGTAATATTTCCATATTTTTGTGAGTGGCAATTTGAAGCTTTGTTTTCTATCTATATTACTAATAATGTTATTACACTAAAAAGCAATCTTTGTTTTGCTCTGATTCTTTCATGGTTTAGTTGTCCGTCAAGTCAAGAAGTTGACACATAGATGTCAGTTTTTTTGCTATTTTTTCATTGTTTGTTTTTGGTTTCAATCATTTGATCAATGACAGTGACAAAATTGATGTCTATTTTTTCCAGTCAATTTTTTTTGTTAAAATCCTTAGCTCAATGGATCAATGACTGAACTTGGCATTGTTTGGCTATAGTGGTGGAAAAGAGAGAGAAAATGAAAAGCAAAAAATTTCGTATGCATAAAACTGATTTATTAATTATACTTTTTGTGATTGTGATTGTGATGATATAGGAATTAAAGCTGACACACAGCTGTTCTTTCCTATTGTTTCTCATCATTTGTTTGTCGTCGACTGAATAATGAATGTATGTCATTACAATTCTTTGTCGCAATCATGGTTTTGCTATATGATGACTATTCATTGCATTCTGTTTTCTGCTTTCTCTCCTCATTTTTGTTATTAAATATGGATGAACAGTTTCTTCCATTTTTTCAATAAAATAATTCCTTATTATCGGTCGACGACGTAAGATAATAGTCACTGTTTTTATGTTGATCCTTATCATTGGCAATATATCCGAAAAAGGGTATACATGATGCATGATGATTTTTCGTTTTCATAATCGCATCGTGTTATCCTATGATTGATGAAACAAACGTACGTAGTGTCCATGGACTATTCTCAGTCAGTATAATCAGTTTGTTTGGCTGTTGTATGCAAAATTAATCGTAGTTAGACTATTCTCTGCTTGCCATGGTTATTGTATCTCATCTCGTCTAATTTTAATTTTCTCTTTTTCTCGTTTTCGGTAACCAGGAAAAACATTTGGTGGATCGAAATGTCGATTTATGATTTCATATCTGTTGTTGCAATGCGATGACAAATTGTCATTGACCTGACCTAACTACTACTAGACACCTGTAGGTAAGTGGTATCCTAATGAACAATAACAACCATATATTAATATATACCGTTTCTTTACAACAGGTGATGCTTAATGGATCAATTAAATTTCCAACCATACAGAATCACATCATACATTTACAATCAACTTGTTCATTTCAATTTTTGCTCGTTTTGATGACGACGGGCGTTGATTTATTTGTTTTCATTGTGCCTATACTTGCCACATTCATTCAATTGTTGATGTATCTGTGTGTGTGTGTGCATGTGTTTATGCGTCAGTCAGTGCTTCTTCAACAGTCAGATCGATTCTGTTTGATTGACTCGATGTTTAACTTTTTTTCTTTTTGTTTGTGTTTGTGGCTGATAATTTCACACACAATATGGCATATGGTTCATATGATTCTGATTGTTTTAGTAAACACATAATCAATTGAATTGGGTCAACAATGTTACCAATCAATCTACAAGAATGGAATAAAAGCAAATTGAATTTATCATTCATCACTCAACACCAATACCAGCAAGCAATATATTGATGGGCCATTGAATTCTTGTCTTTTAGAAGGAAAAAAATATCAAAGCACATGTAATGAGAATTTAAAGCTAATTTTTTTTATTGGCACATTATTCATAATAAATATACCGCAAGCAATAAACCAAAATATACATACCGACACAGATAAACTTTAGTGAACAACTACCACTGTTTTGTGTTCGTGTGTGTATAGTATTGGATTTTGTCGTCGAAACATAACGAAATAACACGGCATACCGAGTTTCAAGGCTAAATATCTCCACGGATATCTTTGATGTGCGGCATTCAACCACTTACACAGACAATCACACACACCACACACGTAAGAAATTTCAGCTGTTGACGACAAAATAATTTGTCATTCTCATGAAGATATACACTTGTAGCTGTATATTTGTGGATTCTTTATGAATCATTCACTAGTTCATAGTTTGAGTTTGTTTGTTCCGGAATCGAAAATTTTCCCATTTCAATATTTCAACTCATCATCATCATTTTGAGTCATGGCTATATCGTATTCAACGTCATCATCATCATCCTCATTATCCAATGGCAATAATCAAAACCATTTGGATATATCACGTCGTAATCCACAAGATGAATTTGATCTCTTACAGCGTGTCGGTTCCGGCACCTATGGCGACGTATACAAGGTAAGTGGATTTTTGGTTAAATTTTCATCCATTAATCACGTTCATCCATCATCAATCAAGGCTAAACGACATTCAACTGGCGAAGTGGCCGCCGTTAAAATTATAAAATTAGAACCGGGCGATGATTTTTCCATTATTCAACAAGAAATTCGTATGATGAAGGATTGTCGACACCCAAATATTGTCGCTTTTTTTGGCTCCTATCTTCGACGTGATAAACTATGGATTTGTATGGAATATTGTGGTGGTGGTTCATTACAAGATATTTATCATTGTACAGGTCCATTAAGTAAGTCGGTTGATGATGCTTGTGCTGTTAATTTATTTTATTTTATTTTATTTCATCAGGTGAAGATCAAATAGCCTATGTGATACGTGAAACATTAAAAGGATTACATTATCTTCATTCAGTGGGCAAAATCCATAGAGACGTCAAAGGTGCTAACATACTGCTGACCGAAGAAGGTGACGTTAAACTAGCCGATTTTGGTGTATCGGCTCAGATCACGGCCACAATCAGTAAACGGAAATCGTTCATCGGTACACCGTATTGGATGGCTCCCGAAGTTGCAGCAGTCGAAAGAAAAGGCGGTTACAACCATCAATGCGATATATGGGCTATCGGAATCACTGCAATCGAATTAGCGGAACTACAGCCACCAATGTTTGATCTACATCCAATGCGCGCATTATTTCTAATGTCGAAATCAAATTTCAAACCACCCACACTGAAAGACAAGGCACGTTGGTCACCGGAATTTCATCAATTTGTCAAAATGGCCTTGACCAAGAATCCAAAAAAACGTCCTTCAGCCGAACGGCTAATATTGCATCGGTTTTTATTTCCTCGTCCTGAATTAACCCGTGAACTGATAAAAGAACTATTGGAACGGGTGAATAATCCACAAAATTATCATACGAATGATGATGAAGAAGATGAAACATACGAAGAAGCCCAACAATCGCTACCACCGCAGCGAATTTCGTCCAAACGATCGGTAAGAAAAGATTATTTGCCATCACAACCACCACTTATCGTACAAATTTGGTCACAACAGGTTCAATATGAAGATTCCAGAGCGATTGGATGGAATAACAATAGCAATAATAATCACAATACACCACACCAAGCAAATCGCTCGAGTTTTTATGCCAATTTTCAGCAGCACTATTCACCATCTCCTTCACCATCACCAGTTTCATTATCGTCGGCAGCTCAACAGCAACAGAATCGTGAATTACATTCTGTACGACAGTATTCGACACCGTCACCATTGATTGTGACACGTGTACAGATGCCAGGTGATACTAGTAGTTGCAAGCAACCACCAACATCAAATTCTAACGACTGTGATATTCAAAACAATCATAAATCTTCGAATCATTTGTATCAAGGGAAAAAATCAATTGTTGATGGTCATATCGATAATAATAGTCGATTCTCTTCATCATCCGGTGAACATCGTGGCGGTGGACGTAAATCCCTATTGGAGATTGTTGATGAAGAATTACTTAATCGGTATGTGCAACGTTTTTACCGAATCTGGCACATGTTTCATTTGTGTTTTTTTTGCAGTGGTCATTCAGACTCTTTGACTGCCCATGATCAACTATATTCATCTCAGTAAGACAATCTTGTTACATTTGAAACAATCTTTAATCTTTAAAATTTTATTTTATTTTATAATCCTCAACCATGAAGGCAAACTCTTCCAATTGATTCGTGTTCGTTATCAGCATCTCATCCACCACCATCAAAGGTAATTGATGAAAAAAAAACAGAAATCAATTAGCTCTTTTTCGGTTTCCTTTTTGCTATTGCTTGCCATGTGTGTCATTTTTTCATTTCTTTTTGTTTGATTAGTGTGTGTGTGTGTGTGTGTGTTTTTAAATTTTATTTTTCATTATGAAACTGGGCATGTCTTTAGTATATGAATTTAGCATAGTTTTTATCGTGGTTTTAAGTGAAATTTTGACACATATTTTGTCCATATTTCAACCAAAGATGAGTTATCGAAATAAATTACTCCAACAACAACAACAACAACAACAACATCTGAATAACAATCAATTTGCAGCCAATTTTCTTCAACACCATTATCGACAACGAAGTGAATCTTGTTGCAGGGAATTGTTTGCTCAACGACAACAACAAGTCAGTGATTCTTCGCCCAGAAGATATCATTTATCAGCCAATAATTATGCTTCTGATTCAGCTGATGAATTATTCGCTTTAAAGTCTTCGGGATTTTACGGTGGTAGTTCATATAATTTAAATTTTTCCAATACCGCAAGTAATAATGTTGTCGATACGGCCAAACATTCCATTTTTCGTGGCTGGGACAGGGAAAATTTTTTCAATTCAATTGGTCGTGATCGTGCAACACGACTATTATTTAAAAGCTCGCCACGTTATCGACAACAACAACAACAATGTTCACCAATTCAAAGTTATCGTTCATCTCATACTGAATCTGAACCTCTGGTACCTAGGCCATCGTTTGTATTCGGTGCTCGTGGTCAACAATGTCCGCCAATGCCATCGAGTTCACCATCGCCACCACCATCTTACAATAGTATATCCGCTCATGAATTATGCCGTGATATTGTGAACGTATTTCCAAATGGTTCACCGTATCACCAGTTAAGAAATCCTGTATCAAAACCTGAACCACATCAACAACGACGTTCATCACGACATCTCAGTAATACCACAACCGCCATTAGTTATACGACTTTAACTGAATCATCAAATGTTGATTGCCAACGATCAACAAGGCAACGTCGGCCATTGTCGGTGAATCTTAATGATGAATCTTATCTGAATTGGAGTGCCAATACAATCGTAAGAAATTCGGAATTCTACTCAAGTTTTTTTTGGTTTTGTTTCCGTTTTTTCTTGCTTCTGTTTTTATTGTTTTTTTTTGGTTCATGATCTTTTGTTTCCAACGAGAGAATTAATTTGAAATTTAATTTGTGCAGGATGAAATCTTATCAAATGTTTGCAGCGATAATCGAATAGCCAATAAAACTACAGTGAATATCAATGATGACGATTCATTAAATAATCATCGACATTCCCATCTTCATGATGAACAAGATGAAGATCTAAATTCGGATAATAATCCCCCACCGCCTCCGGCACCACCTTTACCTGACAATTTCGTACTACCCAGTTCAAATGTACGCTCTTAGTTTCGCTTAGCTTGCGAATAATGTTAACGAAACTCTACACATTAAGAGATGCTAATTTTTTGCTCAATTTCAGATGAATCTTGACGATGACGACAATGGAAATGATGATGATGATGATGATTCATCCTTGTCGAAAATTCCACCAGAAGTTCCACCAAGACAACGTCGTAATCGTACCGGTGTAAAGACCAGTCAAAATAATGTGGTCTCAGCAGCAAAATCAACAACGACGACAACAACATCGTTAAATCACAACAAGTCTAGTAGTAATCGACCATCATCACAGCCTCATAACTATGTGAATGGACTTCCACCGACACCGAAAGTACATATGGGAGCTTGTTTCTCCAAAGTATTCAATGAATGTCCATTAAAAATCCATTGTGCTACCAGTTGGGTCCATCCAGATACTCATGATCAGCATATTTTATTAGGTATGTTGTTTTTTCTCTTCATTCTGTTCAATGGATAAATGAGGTTTTCATTTCAAACCATGAAAATGTCATCCAATGCTTAGGTTGTGACGAAGGAATATATTGTTTGAATTTGAATGAATTACATGACGCTACACTTGATCAATTGTTTCCACGACGGACCACTTGGTTGTATGTGATCAAAAATGTTCTAATGTCAATATCTGGCAAAACATCGCAACTATATCGACATGATCTCGTGCAGCTTTATTCGAAAAAGAATCTCAATTTCGGTTTGCCTTCATCGGTCGATTCAATGATCAATCGAATACCAGGAAAATTGATGCCCAGAAAATTCATGTTGGCATCACAACGAGTGCCAGACACAAAAGGATGTTTAAAATGCTGTGTAGGACGAAATTCTCATAATGGATATAAATATCTTTGTGGCATTTTACAGAATTCAATATTCCTTATGCAATGGTACAACCCGATGAACAAATTCATGCTACTGAAAACATTTGAGCACTATTTTCCGCCCAGTAAACCAATAAACATGTTGGAAATGATCATCTCATCTGATATGGAATATCCTCTATTATGTACCGATGTTAAAAGCACAACAGACCCTAAACAATTTGATCTTACTTTGATCAATCTCAATCGAAATTCGAATGCCATTTGGTTTGATCGTGATCGAACATTAGACAGTGATTGTAGTAGCCAAAGATCAAGCTCGAGCGTAATATTGGGTGCTGGACACAGTCTTGATTTCAATGATTTGGATATGGATGCATTCGGAGATGGTACTGAAACAATGGTTCCTATGGGTCGGTCAAGCAAAAATGCTTTGAATCCGATTTCCGTGAAACAGACTGATTCGGATACCATTCTTATTGCATATGAAAGTAAGCCTTTTTTCATTTCTTTATTTTCACCATTTTTCAACTCATCTTTACTTTGACTTTGATTGATTAGATCTGGTTAAATTGGTTGACTTGACTGGCCGATTGAAATCTAGTCGACAAAAGCCATCTGAATTTGAATTTGATTTCAATATCGATTCTATCGGTAAGTCTAATCCGTAACTAATGATTGGTTAATTGATATTTATATTTTATATTTAATTTATTCTAGTAACGTTGACCGATTCAGTACTGGCATTTCATACATATGGTATGGGTGGCCGATCATTTTTAGACAATGAAATTGTCCAAGATATTCAAGATCCTTCCAGATGTTTCAAAATGATTGGTGCGGATGATCAAACTGTCATATTGGAATCTCGACCATCAAATTCAAATACTCCAGATACGCCTTCCAATCTTTACATTCTGACAGGTCATGAGAATAGCTACTGATATTCTTAGCTATTCATTAAGGCCATGAAACCAATGTCGAACAATGTGTGTCGAACAATCTGCCAAAGACGATTCGAGTTGGTGTGTGCCTGTTATTTATATTTGTTTGTTACTTATCTATATCTTTATTTAAATGACGACATTATTCATCATCCTCATCACCCTGTCGCTCAATTTCATCGGTGTTGCACATGTTATAATCTCCATCATTGTCAAACATATTTGTCAATAGGCAAAGTTCCAATTTTTTCGTTCTCATTTGTCATATTTATATATTAGGAAAAGTTATAATGTGCAAATGACAAGAGAACCAGTGTTTTATTTTTTAAATTTTTTCCTTCATTGTCTGTTTTTCTTTTCTTAATGTTGTTTTTATTATTATATTCATTTAATATTATTTGCTTCACTCTTGATTGCTCTTGCTCGAGGATAAAACACAAATCAATTTCATTACCAATCATTTATTACCATAATTTTTCTCTGTGCATTATTATATATATGAAAATTTAAAGTTATCAATTTTAAAATTTGTTTCATTACATTACATTCATACATGTACACACACACACACACACACATTACTGATAGCGATTTTGTTCGTTTCGTTCGCTTCGAAAAAATCAATTTGTTTGATAAAATAGCTCAATTTGTCTGTGTTTGATATTTGATATAATAAATGGTTATTATTTTGTCATTGCGTTTTGTTTTCAATTTTCATCGTTTTTCATTATTATGGCAATACGACATGAAGCGAAAAAATTAAATTAATTTGCTTAATTTGTTTTTCATAAGTTCTAATTGCAATTCTTGGTATAAATTTCCAACCAAAATCATTTGCAACTGTAGAAACTGTTGAAATTGAATAGCAAATAGCAAGAAATGATGCAAGCCAATGATTATAGTAACACAATTGATTCTGATGTTGGCGATAGTGAACCGGCATCAAAGTTAAACGAAAATGAATCATTGCCAACATCAGGCAGCAAATTGATTGGCGATAAAATGGATGCCACTGATAAACACGGTTCTTTTGATACATTTGACGAGTTGTCATCGATATCAACATCATCGTCTTTGAGATCTTTATTACATTGCTCTTCAGGCACTTCATTATCATCTTGTGATAGTTTCAAGAAGAAAATCATTTTTACAAGTCAACAAGATGACCAAAGTCTCAAGTCCGTTAGTTTGCAATCATTATCATCAATTAATTCGACCAAATCATTTAGCATTAGTTCGTACGAAACAAACAGTGAACAAAGTTGGCAATTCAAAGCTCTTCAATACAAAGTGCCATTCAATATTAATCGGATAAGACAAAGATTAATTGGCCTGAAAAAATATAAATTGTCCACACAACCAAAAAAACCTATTGAATCCACAATCAATCAATCTGTTACAGAAACTTTAAAGCTATCGTTGGCAGAGTTCCAAGTCGATGATAAGATTCACCATAAATGTGGCGGTATCGAGTATGTCGATGGTGTGGCATCAGCGTTAGTTAATAACCACAATGCTCGAAAAACAGTTTGCATCGTTTTTATTTTTATCATTTCAATAATGATTTGGGAAATGTTGAAATTATCAAGTCGGATGTTTTCCATGTCTTAATTTTTTTTATTTTATAGAACACACCATGTTGCCCATGATGAACTAGTCTTATATTTCCGTTAATGTTATAATAAATATGATTTCTAGCAACATAAAAGACCCACTAGTATTCTTGATAAGACAGACACCCAACTCATGATTTATTCACATTTCAATCGAACAATGAAAAAGTGGGCACCAAATTGAATATTGATTTATTATTCGGGAGAGATTATGCAAGTTTCATGTGAACATGTTCTATTCGGTGGCGGCATATGTTTTCAATGAGAAAAATATATCTGAATGAGAGAATAAAAAGCGAATAATTCACATCTAATCCATCAAAATTTGGAATCCATAAATACATCATAGTTAATTGAAAAAAAGAACGAAAAAAAAGAATCGATAAACGCAATTTTTTTTTACAGACTAATCTTTATAATCTTTCCATTTATGTAGTACTCACATTCAATCGATCTATTTGCAAAGTATCTTGTCATTATGATCATCTCATTATTATATAATCGCCGTATTTTCGTGCTTCTCTTTTAAACGTAAAACGATTACTTGGTCGAAACAAAAGATTTACGAGCTGTTTTTTTCAATTAACACGGTACCAGATTTCTATACGATTTGAGAGGAAGAAAATACCATTCAGGTTCATCTCTAAGGGATCATTTCAATATTAATCAAACATTTCATTAAATTTATTATTAATATTCAATCAGCAATTACTACAGAATTGTTTCAATTTACACAATAGATAAATTAATTTTTTCCAAGTTCATCTCAAATGTTTTGTTTATGCATGATGATCAGGAATGAGGAATGATTGTTGCTGTGAAATTCATGTCATGATTTCCAATTAAATAATCTGTTTTTTTCTCCTTTTTTTTGGTACGATTTGTTATGGTGCCAGTGTTTGTGAGAAAGCAAGAAAGAGCGGGTGGAAGACATGCTCGAGAGTGATGGCAGAATGAGAGATGGTAATGAGATTGGAAAGTGGGCAAATTTGATTTATTCGTCTTGTATAATCATCGGTTCATCAGCATTAAGATTATGTGACTGATCATTTATGGTGTTGTTTTTGTCACATTCAACATGTGAAGATGATGACGATGAGTTTGGAACCATTTTCGGTATAGTAGCCATTGATGTCTGCGCTTGATTGGTCGATTTAATCGAACATGAAGATGTGGATGCCAATGACATTGATACAGATGAAGAACATAATGAGGACGAGGATGGAAAGGATTTTTTTAATTGTTTTTCTTCCATCATCAAACATTGTGCATAATTCGGACCAATCTTTTTCAATACGGCTGGATTAAGACTATGCGTACAGGCGGTCAGACATTCTGAACATAGTGGGCTTAATTGTCGTATTAATTTCAGCATCCATAACAGCATTTGTTGTGCTTGTTCTTCATCTTGATACATGCATTCAAAGTAACGTTTGAACAGGTATAGATATTGAAAATATGTCAACCTAAAAATTATCAATTATCAATCAAATTGTTAGATGTAAAAATCAGACTGTATTACAAGAAATTATCAGTGTCTGTGTTCACTTTAATTGTCAAGTTATTGCCTAACTGAAATCTGATATTTCTCTCTCACACAAAGCATCATTTTTGCTTTTGTTTCGTATAGAAAAGACTCACTTGTCACATTTGAATGGGGAATGTGGTCGATCGAATGCGCCAAACAACAACAGATAAGTCATCTGAAAAAAAATTAATAACATAGAATAGAATGACACATTTATATCGATTGACAAGAAACTAACCAAATTAAATACGGTGGGGTCTTTACGCCATTCCTGTGGAAACGATGTTATGTATTGTCGATGTGCGGCAGCCATTTCTTTCTTGACCGATTGCTGAAACATATCCAACTTGATCATTGTGAATCCATTGTCGCTCACCTAATTGATTATTGATGTAAACGTTGATAAATAAAACAATATAAAACAACAAGAATAAGAATAGACTTACGCCATTAAAAATGGCCCATGCATTCAAATTGTCATCAAAATTCTGTACACCTCTCAAGTGATACAACATGTGCAATAAGTTATTCTTTTTCTTGATAAAACCAGTTTTATTTTGGCGAATCAATTCGGATATTTCGGATTCACACCAGAATTCTTCGTACAATTTGAATGATTTGTTTGCATAGAATATACCTCTTTCGAGGCTATCGAATATTGCACGTAGCTGATCATGTGATTGAGGCTTAGCAGAGATCATTCGACAGGTTGAATTGAGATATTCAATTTTTTCTCGTTCTTTAGCAAATAGTTTATGACGATAATGTTGATAATCGGCCTCGTTGATTCGAATATTCATCGTAGATGTCGATGTTTGTAATGGCGCCGTGGTTGTGTAATCAAGTCCCATATGTATTCGTATATAAGGTTGCCATTTCTCTAGATCAGCAATCAATGCATGGTCTTGATCACCGAAATTTCGGGCTTCAACTTTACATAGTTCGACTGATGCAAGATTACTACGATTATTATGACTATAGCCATTATTATCATCATAACGATTTCGAACGATAGTCAAATGCGTATTATTCATTGAATCGCCATCATCATCAACAACATTTGATGAATTTTGTTGTAGATCATTTGAATAGCTGCTATTATGGTGATCATGATAATTATTTAAATTGGATGGTAGATAATAATATTTATAATAATTTTCATCGTAAAAGTTGCTATAATTATATCTTGTATGAGCATTGATTGATGATCGCACGTGACTATAATTGAAACCATCATGAGTCTGTTGTTCAATGGATTCTATATCTTCTTCATCCACACCTATCAGTTTACTGGCAGTTATCAATGCTGCTGATGAATTATAAGGCACCAGCATTTGATTACTAGATTCTTCATTGCTATTATTATTGGTGCCTAAATACATGATAATATGATGATGATTGATTTTTGAATATCTGCATCAATGAAAAAATTTTCATCAAAACTTACCTCCTGATTTAGATGTCGAAGACTGCTGTTCAGAATAGGCACAAACTGAAACATAGGAAATCGGCTGACAATTCTCTTGCTTTTCAAGCACCTCTTCTATTCCATCTTCTTCTTCTTCGTCATTATTATCTTCATCTTCTGATTCAGCAATCAAGCTATCATCATTTTCATTGTGTGTTGATACCACCAAAGCTGATGATGGTGGCCGAGAAGGAGGAGCTTGTTGAATGACAGAAACACTATTGAACAATGGTTGTTGTCGCTGCTGTTGATAAGAAAGAAGTTGAATAATCGATTCGGATCGAACGGGCTGTAGCATTTCATCCTTTTCCGCAGATGTTGTCGGTTGTTGATTCGATGTCGATTCATTGGTGAGATCATAATCAGAGCAATTAGAAATGGAGAATAGATTCTCAGTCGAAGATAAATCTTTTGATAATTGAATTATTAGAATGATTAGAATGATTAGAATGAAATAAATGTACAAACAAGTAAACTCGAAACTTACAATTGAATTCATTCCGTACATTAGGGTTAGATGATGAATTGACAGCTCCATGTTCGATCTGTACCAAACTTGGAATGTCAACATAATCCATTGGATCATCCAAACCGCCAGTTTCTTGATCATTTATTTCAATGTCATCACTTGCTTGCGATGATCCTTGATCATGGCTAAGAACCTGACTATAATTTCCATTGATATGATTCGATGAGGATTCGGAAAGGCTTCGATTAGCATTTCGTATAATTTTTGGGGATTCAATTGATGAGGTATTGGTTGTTGAAGAATGTTGCTTCTGTCGGTTACGTTTGACACGCATACCTAGTCGAATACATTTATCCAAACGGCATGCTGAACAATTTCGGCGATTCGATTTATTAATCGAATCCATACAACGATTATGATTTCGACATTGAAGTCGTTCCTGTTCAAAAAAAAAACAATTATCATTATCAATAGTTTGAGATTTGGACAAGTTTGAAAAATTTTCCATTTGATAAAATTAAAACTTTTCCTTGCATCAAGTTCTTTGAACTTGTATGAACAATCACTTGACTACATCATTGGCAGATTTATTTCCATTATTGAACAAACAAGAAAAAATGTCAATATATTAATCTATTAGTCGCTTTGGATGTTAAAATTTGTTTACTTTTTACTCGATTAATTGATAATCATTTTCTCAATGCAATATTGTGTTGGACAATTCTGCATAGGATAAGGGTCATTGTTTTGTTTGACTTTTGTTTGAAATTGAACTTTTGGAGAAACAAAATTTCGTAATTTTCCGTAAAAAAACGAAAGAAAATACAATTGTGTAGTCATTCTTTGTAATTGAATTCCTCATGACAATCGTTTATTATGAAACAACATGGAAATGGAAAAAACCTGGATCGAACTCAACAAAACTGGGTCCTTGGTTTTTGTACCTCGATCGAATTTTCCTTTTTTCTTCACTCCTCTCTCTATGACGTTTAGAACGAGATTTCAACATTTCAACACTAAATATAACGTCAATTTGTTCATTGATTTAAAAAGTTACAATACAGAATCTAATGGGTTTTTCACCTTGATCCACTTGCTTTCAATCATTTAATGTGTGTGTGTGTGTGTCATTTATTTTCTCTAATTCTCATTAATCATTTTGACAGGCTAATCGACTTGGAAAAAGAATCATTTCTAATTTAGTAGGCAAAAATTATCGCTATTGTCATTTACTACGTTGTAAATTGAATTATTGCATTTCAATAGAATGCAAAACAGATTAACTAACCTTGGAATCAATGTTACGACTGAAGAATATTTTGCACGAACCACATGTTACGACACCAAAATTTTTTCCTGAAAATCAATTGTTAATTAATAGATAATTTGTCAAACAATCTATGAATAAAATCTATTACCAATAGGTGTATCGCCACAAACTTTACATTGTTGATGATGGCTAGATTTCGTTGATGAAGATGAAGATGAAGAATTGGAATCATTTCTAGTGATTTTTTTCGATTGACCATTTGTCATTTTTGTTGTGGATTTTATCGAATGCAAAGTAGATGTATAATGGTTTGGAGATGATGTTGGTGATTGCTTTTGTGGCTGAGATTGTTGTTGCAATTGACGATGAATGGGTGGAGGTGTTCCAATAGTCGATATGACCGTCGATGGTGAATGATGATGATGATGAGAATAACGAAATTTTGTCTGATGATGAGGTATCGTAGTTGTCGTTGTCGATGTTGTTGTTGCAGCTATAGCTGATTGTGATTGTGATTCTGATTCTTTAGAATTGGATGCTATAGGATTACTGAATATTTGGTGATTGAGAGGATGATAAAGAAATTGCTCTTGATTAGATATCAATGATGAGGATGGCGATTGATTTATGCTATGATTATGGTGATGAGCCATCAATATTGTTGGATGAAGATGGTGAGAATAAGAAATGTCATCGGTTGAAAAATGTGGCATTGTTGAATTTGAATTCGAAGCATTCGTAGCGGTCGTGACTTGATCTACTTGTGGATGAATAGCAGTTTGATGATGATGATGGTGGTTTGGAAACATCATCATTGGTATCATCATATAGTTTCCTTGATTATGATGTTCGTGTTGATGTTGTTGAATATGGAGTTCTTCTTGGATTTTCTTAAAACCATTTCCTGTCATTGATGCAAATGACGATAATGGCTGTGGTTGTGGTGAAGATGATGCTGGAGCTGAAGAGCAAACATCCTGTATATTAGCCCTGATATCGTTGTTGATCGAAATGCCATCAAAATGCAGTATCGATGATCGTGATGATAATTGTGTTTGTGACGGTGGCACCAATGATGAATCAATATGAAATAAAGATATGGCAGCTGTAGTTTCCATATCGTTCATATCATTATGTTGTTTATGATCATTTGTTGTTATCTCTAGCATATTGTTGATATTTGTTGTTGTTGTTGCCTTTGTGATCGCAGTTGTCGTCGTCGTTGCTGTTGTCGTTGTCGTAGTCGTTGATGTTGTTGGTGAAGTTTTGAATAATGATGATACGACTTCGAGAGATGAAAATGATGAGGGTGATGATAATGATATTGGTGATGATGGTGAACCCGAAGACAGTGATATCAATGATGGAGACGTAAATTTTCCCGTAGCCAATGGTTGTATTGATGGTGATGATGATGGAGATGCAGCATAAAATATTAATCCACCATGATGATGATGATGATGCGTATGGCTAGTTGGTGGATAATAATATGGATGATAATATTCTGCCTGTTGTCGATAATGATGATTTGAATGAGGAGTTTTCATCATCATCATCATTAGAATACTTTCAATGAGCAAAGATGTTGATTTGAAACACGAGATGTATTTTTTGGTTTCGATTTTAGATTTTAATTCAGCCAACTATGCCAACTATAAAATATTTTCCAATTTTATCAAAATAAAGCCGCAGTCAGATTATTTTTTTTTTGTTGCAGCAGATGATGTGAGTTTCAATTCAATTTTCATAGACTACACATGAACGAGAAAAGGACAACGATTAATAATGAGAATTAGTATGGTGTATCATTATTCATGTTTCAACGCATCCCAAATCCTATATTCAGACGAATTATAACGGAAATCTACCGGAAATTCAGATCACAATGTGATGGATGTTGAACAAATCAAAAAACCCATGGTTTAGCAATTGGCCCGTTTATTTGTGGTGAAATTTTTCATACTCATGGTTAGTGAAAAAACTAGAAAATTTTTCTTTCTAAAATATTTCTGTAAAACATTTTATTTTGCAATTTATGTACATTGATGATTGTAGCATGATAAATGTTTGTCACTTTCTCTAATCACACATCTGTATAAAAAATATCTGCGATAAAAATTAAAGATTGGCTCATCTACATAATAATAATAAGTTTTATTTTATGGTGAAGAGAACAACAACAAATGTTTTATGTGAACGAAAACAAAACGAAAACAACAACAAAAATATATATTGGGTACATATTGGATGAACCAATTCCAACAGTTAAAATGTCAGATTCCGAATTTGTTTGAAATTCAATGCACAAATAAAACTTTGTTTTTATGCTTATTTTCTCGGTATTTTCCAAGTGATTAATTGATTTAATATATCAATTATTAAGGTTGTTTTTTTTTGGCGGTGGACATGTGTTTCATGTGTGTTTGTTGATTGAATTTAAGAATAAAAATTTTTTTTATTCGCTCATTCGAGATTGATGCAATTCTATGGAATTTACAACAGATTAAACGCAATGCTGAATGGATTGAAGATAACGATGATTATGTATTCTATATAGTGTATACTGGAATCAAATTAAAGATTATTATATTGTAACACACTCTGTGTGTGTGTGTGTGTGTGTTGTCACAAATGTTTATCACAGAACATGTCAATAGCAGAATTCTCTATTAATTAACTATTTTTTACGCCATTTGAGTTGGGAAAGTTTCCGGAATAGTTGTTGATTTCGTTTTGCTAATACTTGCATGGAATGGAAGTATATTTGTTATTTGGAATTGAATAACAAAAAACAACAATAAACAAATGCCCGAATTCAATTGGAAACTTTTCTGTTTAGAAGTGGGAAAAAGTCTGACTAAACATGATGAAATGTGGAAATTATTTAAACCTTACCATTTCAAGAATCAATGATGATATTTGTGATAACTATCTTTAGCCGATAACGATGATGATCATTGTCGACAACAGAATTCAAGTGCGACAAAAAATGAATTTTTTGTCATCATCAATTTTTACAAAAAAGGGGTAGGCACCTTTCTAACTAGGTTCAGTTTTGGCATACTGGTTGATCGATAGTTGGCAATGGTTGTCATGACAAATCATAGAAAGACGATAATAATTTTGACATTCACTATCACTATGATTGAATTGAATAATAAAAATGAAAATTATTTTGCAACAAATTACAGAGTATGCCACAGCAAAATAAGCAACAAAACTAGATAATGAAGCCAACGGCAATAGAAATAAAAAAAAGTAAGTATAAGTATTCACTCATGGCTCCAGAATTTAATTACACAAGTTTCCAAACAAATCAATCAGTCAACAATATGTAAAAGAATAGAAACAAATACACAAACCCAGAGAGATCTGTGGAATGATTTAGATACATAGTATAATATAATATAATAATATAATATAATGGAGCTATATAGATGGTGGAAACAAATTTCTTTCCAAGAATGCATAAATGTACAAATAATCACGCCATCCGAATAAATCAAGCAAAAAATGAAAACCAAATTCTTATCATTGAATTTTCAGAAACAACAAAACGAATATCTGCTTCAATGCCAAAAAAACGATCATTACGACAAAGGTTGGCCTGAACCGGTAACGAAGTGAAAATGAAATCCAATGATATAAAAGTTTCCGAAACAAATAAATTGTTTTAAATCGAATCAATTGAAATGAGATTCTGACACACACACACACACACCTGTGAATAGAGTAATGAATCAAATTTATTAATTTCTCTAGTTATTATGTAACACAAACAAAATCAATACATAGAAAAGAGACAATTTCATTAAGTGAATCTTCATGCATCGTCATTCGTCATGAGAATATCTTTAACAATCAATATCATCATTACATTACATGTGTGTTGCATTTTGGTTTTTAAAACAATACTACTATTGACATTTGAGAGATTCATGAACCACCAACTAGCCGAACGAAAAGGAGAACATTCATTAGATGATCTGCAATGTGACATCAATGTAATTCAAAATCAATAATATCATCAGTCAGTGAATAACCTTGGTATACCACATGAGATAAATATATCGAACGGTCTTTTACTCAGAAAACTGAATGAATGAAACGAAATGGGTTATATGCACAATGTACTTGCAGTGGCCAATTCTATATTTGTACAATGGAAAAAAGTGGAAAGAAGCCACACGAATATCTTCAACACAGAACAGAGGCTGTAAAATTACAATGAACTCCTCTTTGTCCTAGTTAATGCAACGTTCTTCAAAACATTCGATCGCCAATGAATGCTAAAAAATGAATTGAGGTTGTACGGTCGACAATCAGAACAGAAATGAACAAAATAAAAATAAAACATCACAGTGAAATGAGATTTCGAATGTGTGGATCCTTCCAACATCCGAATCAGCCAATATTGTCAATCAAATGAACAAATGCAGCAAAGAATTAAACAAGAAAATTGATTAAACTTTTGACTTGAATCAAACAAGACACAAACAAACAAATTTTTCCTTGGAATTGGCAGCAAAACAATAAAAAAAGGAAGAAAAAGGATTCACATTCAAATCCAGTGGATTCAAGCAAACGATTTCAATTCAATAATCTAGATAATGAAATCGTTTTCAGTGGAAATGAATGAACATACCATCAACGTTTGACCGCGTCATTATTGGCAACAAGAGAATAATTAGAATGGAATTTAATTAAAACGAAAAAAAAGAGAAAATTGAAAACGAATAAATCTATCAAAAGCAGAATCGTGAAACCAAACAAATTTGTTCATGTGCGTGTGTGTTGGATAGATTTATTTATCTTTTCATTATCAAATTCACGCAACACAAGGACATATTCTCATTCGTTATTAGCAAATTTAATGAATTGCTAAACAAAAATCAATGACCGATCTTTACTACATCTGATTGATTGCCACATTGATACAAAGTAAGATGATTGAGAAACCAGATTCGATTTGACAGTTTTCTCATATTTATTTATAAACAGTAAACAATAAACAATAAACAGTAAACAAAAAAAAATAAATAAACCAAATGATAATGAGAAAAAAAAACACATTCACTCAACACGTGAATCATAACAAACTGAGTATTGAATAATAAATCTAATCGGCCTTGGATCTTCCGGCTATTTCACATTCTACTTATTGATTCTTACTTTTTTCATCATCACAACTTTTTCAAGGTTTCCATGGTGTAGTGACATTAAATTTTTTTCTTTCAATCTTCAAATTACAATGTAATTGAATATTGTATCACATTGAGCATCTAGATTTTCACAAGAAAATTTTAAATTTTTAGCTCAGTATATAAGAGGGAAACCAGAAACCTAAAAATAATCATCATATTTGATGATGCCAGTGGTTTATCTCGTTTGATCTTGAACAGTCATTCATTCATTCATACATGGACTGATTAAAGCCTAATATGTAATTTAATCAGCAAGAATTGCCTCTTGAGGATGAAGACACGAAAACAGGTATTTGATGATGATCAAGGTAAGATGAAAAACTTTCACTATATATACAAACAACAACAAACATGCCTGGCAACAAGAAACAGAAAAATTAAGCTTCCAAAATCCAACCAATCAATCGATCAATCATTCATTTTTTAACTCCAATTTTACTTCCATTTGATTCAATCAATAATGAATAATTATTGTGTGAAAAAACTGACGATATTTTTCGCACTACCAACAACACTTGCATACAAGTCAGATTTTGGATTGGTTTCATTTTTCAAAAAAAAAGACAACTCACTCGTTATCTATCGAATTGATAAAATAAATTTTCACTAGATGAACGAGTTTTCATGAAGAAATGTTTTTTTTCTAGAAGACGGAAAAATGTCATAATTATTGAATTGACTAATTTCGATAAACCATATACAAATTAATATCAACAAGTTGTTTATTGTGAACATGGATTAATAATTTATTAAAAATTTTCACAAATCCGAAAACAAAGTTTTTGTTTTGCATTTGTATGGCTAAATAGTGGATAAATGTTTTGAATGAACCCAATTGATTGCAATCTATAGATATGGCTTGATGTAGAAATCGCATGGACTTGATTTTAATGTACATTTGTTTTCATCGTTATAATCAACAATGCCGTGATTGATTAGTAATCATAATAGTAATATAATAAATTGAAAATTAAAAATGACTTCAATCGATCATTAATGGGGACAAACAATCATCTATCTGATGTTATTGTTTGTTGTATGTTATATATGATGATCATTGATCAACAAAAAGCACCCACCTACACACTGGAAAAGCGACCTTGTACTTGATGGCATATTCTTTAGCCACAAATGATTCGTTTTTTATTATAAATCACAAAATTTTTCTGGTTGTGATGACGATGACTTTACGATTTCAAAAGTTGAAGTGATTTATAAATATTTAGTTTTTCAATTTTAAACAAACACAGACACACACATGCTTGTTGATTCTGAGGAAAATTCACTCAAATTTCTCATTTATGCATATTGATCGAGCGGCAACAAAGAATTGAACAAAATTTCGATTCGATGTAATTTGTTGTTTCATTAAAGTAGTATATAATAAACACACATACACAGATTGACAATTGGTCATCATCATTATATCAATGGAGCAAAAGAATGAATTTAATTCTTCGAAAAAGCGCGAAGCAAAACACAACGCAACAAGAAATGTAAAAAAAGTCAAGTTGAATGAATGAATAAAATTGTCTTGGTAGCATCACAAAAGTTGGCGCCGAATCCATCGAACAAACACTGAATGTTTTCAAACAGTTTGGCCAGTGATGAAGATTGACGATTAATGATGATGATGATGATGATGATGATGATGATGATGATCAATGGATTTTAAGAAAGCATAAGCCAAACAAGAAACTCCATCAATAACAACACACACAAACACAACAAACATGGGCAACCTTCACATTTGTATAATAATTCGAGGAATTTGATAATGAATAAATAAATGACGAAAGAAAAGTAAAAGTTTTAAACAAGTTATATATGTATGAAACAACATGTTATTGAGAAAAAACTGGAAAATGATCGATATATATGGAAACTGGAAACGATCAAATGGATCAATCGCTATGGATCGACTAACTAATCAACTAAATTAACCCAACTTTTCCAAACTTGCTCAACTATATGATTTGAATGTGTGTGTGTGTGTGGGATCCATCGATGGTTAACATGCATTGAAAACATCAAAAAATAAAATAAATTTCAAGACAAATGAGAGAGCTATAATTGCTATACCACCACCGATCATCATCATAAGAAGCAACAGCCATAATACACGTACACAAGGATCCTATCTACTTTCATCAGAGGATCCTTAAAGCGCATAAATGAAAATAAAAAAAAAGAGAGATATCATCTTCAACAACATCATTGGCGTATAGTAGTTGCTGATGTTGCACATCATCATCATCACGAGTATTTTTTCAATTCACTTTTTGTCTTCATCGTCGTCATCATCATCAAATGAATGCCTTATATATTTCTCTTTATATATAGGTGTATATACGCAAGCGCTAAAGCGCCCGGTGTTGATTATATATTGATTCAACATTTGATGAATGGATGGATTGAATTCTGAATTTAAAACCTGTGTATATACAACACATCTAAAAAGAGAGAGAGAGAGAAACAAACACACTATGATACGGTACTGGTATCTGTATGTAGAATTTGTTTTTTTACAAAAAATAAAAATTTTCCAACGAATAAGAAATTCTTAACAAGTCAGTATAACAAAAATTAACGAAATAGAAAAAACAGTCGATTCTTTTATATAACGGATGTAAATATGAAAGTCAGGTTTTGACTTTCATTACATATCAAATGTACATAGAATCACGAGTTTTTGTCAGGTTCTTTTATGCCCGAAAAATTCTTTCAATCTTTCTCACAATTCTTCACGAAAAAACGTCATGTTTGATTCACGCGATTTGATTGTTGAAACTTACGTTTTTTTTAAAAAAAGAAATCATGAATGTAGAGTGGGAAAAATGAAAATAAAGAGATCATAATGTCAAGAGATTGATCGATGAAAATGATAAAACTTTTTCGATATAGATTAATGCCATAACTCATCCATATTTTTTAGGCTCTGTGTTCATTGTTATTGATGATATACGGCAATGTCAAACAAGACAACAGATTAAAATAAATCGATCCTAATAAACAGGTGAATCATAAAAAACAAGAAATCCAATCAAATAATTAGACAATCAGACGCCAACATCATTGACACTTGATTATACATTGGCCATCATAATCGTTGTCGTTGTTGTTGCCTTAACAACAAATTTTTAAAAATAGGATGTCACTTTCGATAAAGCCGCTGTTTGGTTGTGTGGAGCCTTGGCACTGGTGAATGATGATGAATGAAAATTTAATTAACACTTGAAATGCCCAAGAATTTTTTTTATTTTACTCATTCATTCGTTGTTATGAGCTGTCATCCTTGAATGTGGATGAGATGGCATTTTAAGAGTTAAGAGAATATATCTAATTGCACGATAGAATTTTTTATTTCAGTAGAAATTTTGAGCTTCAACTGAAGTTAATTTTTCGATTTACGTCGACAATGAATGATTTTTTTTTTTGCTAATAACAGCAGCAGTAGCAAAAAGCGGGAATCGTCACAAATAAAGTCATTGGCATTGGCCAACGGATTGTAGTTGATATTGTTATTTTTTATCATCACTATAAATGGCCAACAAAAAATTTTGTCGCCATACAAACAAACATTAAAAATTTACGTAAAATTTCCATTTTAAATTGATAATGTTATCAATTAATATTTTTGAAATTCAAGTGAAAAAAATTGTTCACAAGAGAAGAGCTAAAAAATTCATCATCAAGTTTAATAAACCAGAAAAGTTTACAGCCCACACACCAACGCATAACGGTATGATTGATTTGAATAATTAAGAAGAAGAAAAAGAAAAGAAAAGAAAAGCAAGAGTTCATTTGTACTCGTCATAAGAAAATTTTTATTCAATCACAATTCATTTTCTTTTCATTTCATCTATTCTACTTCTATACACACTGCATTAAGGCTATGGATATAATTTGGGCCATTCATCTTTACCTCTCTCTCTCTCTCTTTCTCTTTGTTTCTAAGCCTGAATACTGACGTCAGTCAACTATAGATGGTTAATTGGGATAATGATAATCATCATCAAAATGAACCATTTGAAATTGATGGATTCAACATCGATAATGATGACGGTCATGCGAAGGGAGAATGGGAGAAAGGAAATGGATGATGAACAGCAACAGCCATCCACTGATTTATTTGAAAATGAAAAAGACATTAAATCTTTCATTTTTCCATCGATAATTATAACGACTTCATCGACATTCACAAACGTTATCGATTCAAAGACCTTGTAATGAATTTCTCTTTTTTTGATTGCATGAAAATTTTTTTAAAGTTCAAGATCAGCGTTGTTCGATCGAGATTAACTGTTAATGATATTTCATCGGAATATTTTGGATTGAATTTCTTGTGAATATTTGCAAGTTATCATTATGAAGATCAGAATTGTAAGAAAAATGAGGAAAAAATTTTCGATTTAATAAAAGAAAAACAAAATGATGATGATTATGTTTAATTAACAAACTTATCGATAGCAAATTGATTGATTTGTCTATGGAAATACTTCAATCAATCGATAATCGATGGGAATCAATCAAATTTTAAATTTCAAAAGAAATTTAAATGTTAAGGAAAAGAGATTTATTGTCTAGCCGAAAAATCTAGAAAATTCTTGTATCAACAAGTTTCCAATAAAATTATTGTTTGCTTACCCATTTTATGGTCTGACAATTTCTCTATAACTATTTTTTGTAATAGAAAACGATTTTCATTTGTTTTGTTCGATTAAATAATGGATCAATCAATTAATAGGATTCATTAACATAAACAAGAGGCGAAAAAAATTGAACCGAAAAACAAACGAAAAAAAAAAATAAAAAAAAACATACCAATCTTCTATCATTCGCTGGTGGTGGTCATCGTGGATTATATTGTTTGATTGAAATGGGGTTTTTTTCACTAATTAATTTCTATCTTGCCGAGGTCAAATGGATGTTGCTTTGACGAATAACAATGACAATGAACTAAATCATGTTTTGTTGACAAGGCAGGATATTTCTATTCGAAAAACTATTTCAACTGCAATTGTGCATGTGGCGCTCTCTGTTGTTTTAAAATTGAAAATATAGACATAAATTCATAAACTCATCTCATTCATCTATCTCACAATTTATTCATTTATCTTGATAATAATTTTTTTTGGATAAAATTTCGAGTCAAAATGGAATAAATTACATAAAATTTTTAAAATGATCCAATTTCATTTCATTTTTTGTTCTTTTGAGTTATTCGAAGGAAAAGATGACTGAATTTGATGATAATCTTTTCTATATAGCAAATTAGCAAATATATATAGACAGCATAAATGATGATGAATGACAACAACAACAACAACAACAATATTGATTGATTGATGAGAAATTATAAAGTGTCAATGTTTGTGTATGTGTATGAATTTGTGTCTGTTGACTTGGAATGAAAATCAAATGAAATCAGTTGGGCTAAATATATTCATGATAGACAACAAGACTATATAAATTGCAAAACAAACACGCACACACATAAATCCTAATCAAGAAATTATTAGATATAGATTGTTTAATTTTGAATTCAAATTAATCAATTTTCGGATCATTTCTATTTAAGATCCGGTTCGCTTTCGATATTTTGTTTGATACGCAACAAAAGATTTGTGAACCATGAATCAAGTGGTGAAATGGAATCATAGTCTTGTATGGCCTGTGTAAAGCCTTCGGCATCATTCTCTTCAATCTTATTGATCAATGTTTGTAGAAATTTGCATTCACGTGATTCGGTGAAATGTGGAAAAGAATCCTGATATTTTTTGACGGCATTCTCAGCGTTCAATACATCCACACACATGTGACATAAAGCTGCACGGAAATAATGTTCTTTGGCCGAATATTTCAACAATGGTGATTCGATACAAGTACCAGCCACTTGTTCGTAGATTTCAGCCGACTATCAATAGAAAACAAATCGATAAATAATATAAAAATCTGAAATATTTCCTGTTATTATTCAACCTTTTGAAAATCGGCCTTAAGAGCCGAAAATTGTGCCACTTTCAACAGACACCGATTGGCGCTAACTTTTGATTCTTCACCTTGATAATAATCAGCTGCCGTTTGATAATGTAGAACCGTTTTCTCAAAATCCACCAATTCTGATTCGTAAATCTCTGCAATCGATATGTGATGTTTGGCAGCGGTGGTAAATCGTCCCATATCTTGATACAATTCAATTGTTTTCTCCAGACATCGTATCGATTGGCTTGGATCAACTTTTTTAAAACAATTGGCCGCATCAACAAACAAAGTTCCGGCATCATGTTTGTTATTCTGTTTTAGATGAAGTTGAGCTGCTTCAATGAATGCATTTCCAGCCTCTGCAATATTTTGATAAAATCGATCACAATTGGAATGAATGGATGAAAATCATTGTCACAAACCTGCCCATTTTTTAGCCATTTTAAATGAATTGGCTGCCCTAACATAAAGATCGATTGCCTCATCGATTCTGGATCCACCCCTTTTTTGATTCAATAATTAAATTAGATTCATTTGATCAAAAAACTTTGATGAAAACAAACTTACCCAAAAATTGAGGATAAAAATCCTTGTGTATTTTTCAACTTTTTCTGAGCTTCCTCCAGAAATTGTACACCTTTTTGTCCTTGATCGCCCATTTTGGACAGTATCAATTTTCAATGATTTTTGACAAATTTTCAAAATAGAATAAACTGATGCAATTGAGAAACGCACAACCTTTTTTAATGATCGTCAAATAGTTGTCATTTAAAAATTTAAAAACAAAATGGAATCATGAGTGAAACAATTCTGAAACGGAATTTATTTGAATTTAAATCGATTAAATTGATTAAATTGATATTCAATGATTGCCAAAGTCACCAATAATGATAAAGACAAACCCTATCAATCAAATGTTTACATCACATATGCAGCAGTCATTTTCGCCCACAATATATACAAATGTACGGTACTCGATGTACCACTACTTCAAAAAACTCTTAAAAAATTTTATAATCGACGAGGATTCATACACATACATTCATTTCAATGGCATCATCCCGTTATTATTTACCACTGCCACTGATATCGTTCATATAGGACGTAATGAATTTCAAACTTTGATGCAATTATCATCTCTGATTCTTTGAATTCATTAATTCATTCATTAAAATTCTAAATGAAAAAATTTGAATTTTATTTCAGATTTTTTTAAATATTAAATTAGTTTCTCGAATTGATGAATGACATGTTGTCATTTGTTATTATATTTAAATCTTGTAGATTTTTTCATCCGTTTTGCCGGAAGAACTTGATTTAATTTTTTCCATGAGCACCGTTTTCATATCCAATGGAGAACAACGAACATCATCAATATATTCGATAGATTTGCCATTATCATCATCACTATTATTATTATTATTATTATTGCCATCGAGATTTAAATTGAGAATTTCTTTCGTTACTTGTTGCATTTGTTCAACATTTTCTTTGACAATAAATTTTATCACTTTGGATTCTTGTTTATCCTTATCATTGTTGTTGTTACCATTATGATGAGTTTTTATCTCGTCTACCACTTCATCATAGCTTCTCAATTTGGCAATAGCAGCCAGAATTAAATCCTGTGATGGATCACTATCTCGACGGCTATTCGAATTCGTTTCATTAATTTTCGTAGGTGGATGTTGATTTTCGCCTACCATAACAACAGTGTCAACATCATTGCCATCAGTCGTTGATTTCTTTGTTGTTTCTTTTATGGTCGACAATTGTTCATCAGGAGATTTTGGACAATTATTTTGTACAGCCGGTGATCGAATTTCATTATAAACATTTTCGATGCTCAACATTTCTTCAATTTCAACGGATGGGCTAAATTGAACGTTTGTTGATTCTCGTTGGCCATATCCAATGGCACGTTGTGGTAGAATATCTCTGAATACATTGAAAAAATTGCTCATCTCCAAAATTCGAAGATTTTGTAGCCCATACATTGCTGCTTTTTTTCTTGCAATGCGTTTACTAAAACCGTCTCCATTGGCCAGATGTTTTCCATTCACTGTAACCGAACAAATATAATGTTTATGGCGATAGGTATTATCATCCAAACGCGTTGAAGCACGCGATATAATCTCATAGATTGGTTTCTCATAACCTTTTGATTTACAATAAGATTTTAAAGCTTCTTCCGAGTTGGTCACATTCATCATCATTATGTAAACAGGTGAAGCTGGTTTTAGAGAAAAAAAAATTCATCGATCAACGACGCACTATCTAAGACAACGATAATGATGATGATGATCAAAGTCGAATAGAAGGCGTAACCATGTAATCGAATCAGACCAAAACTAAAAAAGAAAGAGATAAAAGTAGAAATGTTATATGAAAACAACAAATTGTTTACTTCACCAAAACATTTTCGATATCAATTCAATTTGATCAATGAAAAATTTATCAATCTCATTATTAGCTTCCATAATAAAGCTTTCTTTATTATTGATTAATCGTGTGTGTACAAAGAATGGCTTTATTCGTTTTATTTATCAACAACAAATGAATCAAGTCAGATCATCGGTTGATGAATTCAATTGAAATCATTCATATCTTCTGCAATGAGGTTGTATTACGTTTTGAACACTAGATGGTACTACCTGGAATTTGAGTATCGATTTTTAAAAATTACTTTTTGTTTACTGATTGTTTTGGTTTTTTTCATGTAGATGATTAGCAATAGGGAACATTAACATTTCTATTGTGCCCAAATATTGAAATTGAAATTGAAATCACAGGTGCATGAGTTCATCGAATGGGATATCTCCTTAGTGATACTTCCGATATGATGTCGATTCGCGATTGATTGAAATATTGCAAACGATAAACATGGAAACACCTGGCAGTTGTAAAGTTGTAATTATCATTTATGCTTAGTCTTGACTATATGAATAATAAATTGTTCTTTTTTTGTTTGTTTGTTTCAGAAATGAATGAATGGGTGAATATTATATTCAACAACCTACAACATATCACCGGTATATATGACAAATGAAAGTGAGAGAGAATGGAAAGTCAGAACTGTAATCACGCATATAATGATGAACGTGTGGTCGTCACATCAACCAGAAAAACGTAACGGCATAAAATCAAACAAAACCAAAAACAATCAAATAACGTACACAAAAGAGAAGATTTCCTTCCACCGACACTAAATCCAATGAAAGTGCTGGACAAAATGTATGTCATGTAGATATATTATACTATAAATGCAATAACTACTTACAACAACAACAATTGATTCATTCATTTATTTCAGATAAAAAATTATACCATTTGTCTGTATCTCTGTATTTTAATTGTTTGGTAACCATCGTATTATCACCACCACCACCACCACTATTGTTGTTTGTTATATACTCGATCATTCATCCGGCAATCAAATCATACAATATCAATATATTGATGATGATGATGGTGGCCAAATCTATATTTGCAAAATGTGCACGGATTTCACGATGATGACAATTTATTAGGATTAAAACAAACGTAATCAACCAATCGTCAATGGTGGTATGTATGTATACTCTAAATTTCGAAAGACCTGACTGAGAATGATCAAATGAACGAAAATCTCATCATCATTGTGTGCAATTTCAATTTTTCGCACGCACACACCGATATGAAATTCTGCAATGTCTGTTCCAGAAACAAAACAACGTCGTCTCTGCTTTATTACTTTCTGCATTGCTATTCGATACATTATTGCTGATTGGGCGGCGGGAAATTCCCCATGCACACATGAAATCCTTCAATTTATTCTGATTAATCTTTTTTTCCTATGATAGAAAGTTATGTGATTCTGGTTCTATACTATCAAGAAAAGATGACGCCCAAGATTCAAATTATTATTCAATATTTTGTCTTCTCCATAATTCGAGAAGAAAATTCCTAATTAAAATTTTCGTTTTCGTTTTCAATCGACCGAATTACAGCTGCTCACCATCATCATGGTATGAACAACCAATTTATTTTTACACATATCATTTGTTTATACCTTTTGAGAGAAACTTTATCATTCAAAGATGATATGATCATCAATTTTTTTCTCCCGTTATCATCAGTCATTCATCGTCATTTTTTTCTCATGTTTACCAATGATTGTCAAGCATCGTCATTATGGTTGTTATTGTTGTCCACAAAATACTTAAATATCATCTGATCATCTGATATATTCTTTGCCGTGAAAAACCAAAACAGGTTCACCTAGCCTGACGAAAAATCGTTATCATCATCATCATTATGAATGAATAAATGAATGAATGAAAGGTGGACATATTGCAATCACAAGACATTTATCTTCATTTCAGTCTTTATCGGTGGTGATGTATTTTTTCCTTCTAAAACATTTCACTTTATCAGAACTGTTTCCTAGTTAATGATTTAATTTTATCGTTATTTTTTTCTCCATTACAGTTGGAAGGAATTTAATCCGTACGATCTCATCAATATATAGTTTGTCTGTGCGAATTGTGAATTGATTTCAAATCCTTTTCTGTCAATTGTCAATCGAGGACACAAAAACAAAGCAGAACAAACGAACCAATTTTTGTTTTCTTCTTTTTTATCATTATCTAACCTGCCTGGTAGATTTGATGATCATGCACATTTTCTATTATCAACCATTTGGAACCTGTTTTTTCCCTTCATTCTTGCCATGTGTGTGTGTGTGTATTTGACCACCACCGCTGCTACCGCAACAACAACAACAACAACGAAAATTGAAGAACAAGAACACTCTAATACCTCAGGTAGATTATTATTCGAAGACTACTCAAAAAGTTTTCTGTATCTGTGTTTTTGTGAGCCGTTGTTGTTTATTCTCTTGTTCATTTTGGTGAGTTTCATTATTTATTCACATTCAATACAACGACTACAACGGTGCTTGTATACACAATAACGATAACAACAATTTCAAATCGAAACAAGAAATCAAAGAAAACAAATTTGATTGTCCAAAAGAGCCATACATTCATCCATCTACATCCATACATTGTGGCCAAATAAAAAGCAAAAAATAACGAAAGAGAACGAAACTTGTATGATGAGAATAATAAATTCATCATCATCATCATCATCGAGTTATATATTGTGTGTACAACATCCAACGGTTAACGACTATTGTGTGTTTAAAAGAAAAAAACAAGAAATAAAATCCAACAACAAACAGGTAACAAAAGTTTTGGCTTTGTCTTGTTTTCATTGTCGTTTATTAATGGCTGCAATATTCAACAAAATTTTTCATTATTATCAGCCATTGCCATCATCATCATCATCATCATCATCAATACAAGGCAATGGATAACGATTGATTGCAAATGAATGATATCTACTATTTTTAAATAGAAATTTCCCAACTTTTTTCTGGTGATCACCATCCTCTCGTATAGATCGAAAATTCTGCTGATTTTTCTTCTTTTTTTTCTTGCTACTGATTTCAATTCATTTTCTATCCTGGTCATCTTTTTTTTAATAATCACTTTGTGTTTGTGCCAAATCATCAGAAATGTATGACAATCCCCAACGCATAAAGATATCATGAAATTTTCATATTGCTGCATAAAACCATCGATTGATTGATTGAAAATGATATGATATCGATATACACATGTGATCATTATCAATCAAATAAGCCAAAGCTGACACTGAAAAACAAAAAACAAAGATGTGCATACATACATGATTTGAAATTCTTATTCCGCTTTTCTGTCATTTATATTTCATTCATGAACTGCGAAAAAAATTCCATTTTACGAACTTTCCGTTACAATATCAAACCATGTGTAAATCTAATTAACTTTTGAGTTTGTGCAGTTCTTTATGCTAATTCATCTGCTTTTGTCTTGCATTTTCGTTCTTGGAATTATTTGATTCTTATCCGCTTGAATACACACCTTCACAATCTCCATTTTCTGTATTTTTGATAAAATTTGAAAATTTAATTGAATTCACATAACTGACATTATCATAATCAAAGTCGCTAGTATTGCTCGACCAAATACTTTGAATCGCCCACCCTCTCAACAAAATAAACGATTCCAAGGTTTGTCTTGCTTTTGTTATATTTCTGGTTGCTGTATTCAATTCATATGTTGAGTTTATTACTTGTGTGTGTGATCATATTATTCGAATACTTGGATATAGACAACCAAAACATAAAAATCTGTAGGCGTCCAGGTGAGAGATTAATAATAATGGTCATATTTACTATTACTACAATATGAATGAAATGACAAGAAAAAAAAATTCATGCATAAAACATGATTCTATTCTATGTGATGATTAGACGACATGCGCCTATTTTTCTGGGATAAATAATTTTCATCATTTCTTTATAACATGAATGTATGTCAATGCAATTGTAATCGATTGTAAATGCAACACCAACGAGAAAAAATAAAACATGAATTGAAAACTAGTAGATTTTATACCCACAATACTCTTTGCACAAATTTCATTTTCATTTTTTATCAATTGCCGTTACTGTTGTTATAATATTCTTCATCACTTTGTTTCTTCCTTCCTTACTGTCAAAAATATTGCAGGCCATCATCATCATCATCATCATCATCAGTGACATTGGTTGTCTTGTCTTCAAGCTTGTCAAAAGGCAAAAAAAACTTTTCTGCCATTAAAGTGGTGATAATGACGATGGTGATGTTAGGCGAAAGAATGAATGAATTTTCTTAATTTCATTACACCTTTTCATATTATGTGGTCATTTTTTTCTGGGCCATTCATCAATGATAAGACCAAAAAACATCTTGTTCTCTCTTGACTAATCGGCTATTTGCCTATTTTTTTGCTTGCTGTCAATACATAGACAACAACAATTCTATTCTTGGAAATAATATATCACACACATGAAAAAAATTGTTACAACAAATGTTATGCAGCTCATCTGTAGTATACATAATGATGGCTATGTGATAATAATAAATTAGTCTCGTAAAGTCGTGTATACGATTCTCTATGATGATGATGATGATGATGATGTGATGTATGTTATATAACGATATTTTTTCATTCATCAATAATGATCGAAAATAGTGAAAGAAGAAAGAAAATCGAGTTTCTCGTTTCATTTCCATTTTTATCTTTCTCTCTCTCTCTCTCTCTTTTTACACCATTGATGATGACAGAAAATTGGAACTCTATTTCTCTCTTTTTTTGTTTCATTTCGGATCAAACGGAAAAAGACGACGATAAAATCCTGGGATAAACCAGGAAACTGAAACTTGCCTATTTTTTTAATTACTAAAGAAAAACAGTAAAAGTTTTGTAAAGCATGAAAAAGACTGCATTGCAATCATCGATACGGTAAAACTTTTCCGTTCAAAAAAGAACGTTTAATTAGTGGCTATTAACCAACTTTTTTCCTTATTTTTTATTGATAATAATGAAATGAGCCCTGTATCCAATTCGTACAAATTCTTAGCATATTAATCATGAAAATTTTTCCTGATGATTTCATCAATTAATTTTTAGTTATCAAATTAAAATGAAACGATACGAATGTCCATGATTTCAATCGATGTGTGCGTGTATGTGGTTGTCACACCAATAAATCAATAAATTCTATTCACAATAATGTTTGAATGTTGTCCTTCAATCAGAAACACATCCATATGTAAAGACAAAAGTATAGTTTTTGAATGCATGAAAAATCAATTTGTTCTATTGTCATGAATGATTTTTCTGAAACTGCAAACACAATGATGCACATATGATGATTGTCGCAATAATTTACTTTCTATTGTACATTTTCATGCTCATCAATAAATGAATGAATGGACGAAACGTTATATTTTTTTTTCAGATTGATTTTGAAAACACTTTTCATTATAAAAATTGAAACAACAATCGATTGAACAAAATAAAAAAGAAATATTTCATTTTGCATCATTGGTTTATTATATGGAAATTTGCTTTTAAAAAACTTGCTAGATAATGATGGTGGTGAACTCGAAAAAAATTCTAGGCAATCCCATTTGAAATTGTCATCATCATAATCATGTGATTTTTTCATCTTCTTCCTGGAGTTGTTAATTTTCTTCTCGACACATTGTGTTCACTGAGAATGAAAAAATAATGCCATCATTAATTTGAAGAGACAATGGGCCAAAATGAGATTATTCCATTCAGCCACAGAGCCAAATAAATAAAAAATGAAGGACAATTTGGGGATAAGTTAAATGCTTCACCTGTTTATCATTGCCATGTTAATAATGATCATCATCGTTGCTTCAATTTTATTTCCTTCATGTTTTGGTGTTAATGTTAATTGATGTTGAACATCTTGATCTCGAGTCTAGTGTGCCATTCTCAAATTTAATTCATTGTCACGAATTTTATTTGTTTTATCGTTCTTTCAAATTTATTATGACGATCATGATGTTAAATTAGCTGATTGAAATCAGTCGACGTTGTTTTGTTGTGTTGAAACTTTCCATCATCACTTGTTTTGGTTTTTTCTTTCGTTTCACCAACTAACTTGATGATGATGATGATCATTAGTTTGAAAGAGTTTCATCATCATCATCATCATATGCTGTGGATGGAATGTTGATGTTTTTAATGATTCAACAAGTAGTTGAATATTGATGTCCCATTTTTTCTACACTTGAATAATTTGAATTTTTTTTTTCTTTCTTTCAATCATAGATTTGTCACCATTAACAACAGCGAACTTGCCAAAACAAGATAAAAACCGAAACTGTAAACGAAACGAAAAATGCCTCGAATTCGGACATTAACGACGGTTCTATTTTTGATTATCGTGCCTAGTCTATTTATTTATTATTTCTATTATGATTCTGTATCATCATCGATAATTACCCGATATCAGCCATCAAGCAGTACTGAATATGTACAACAATTAATTGATGGTGATGGTGCTCAACAACCACCATCATCACTACCTCAACAACAACAACAACTACCACCAATGGACGATCCACAGCATAAGTATGCTGCCGTTTGGAGACATGCGACCAATATTTATAATCATCCAGCATCAAATGTTCAAAATGATTCTTCAACCTCATCATCTTTATTGAGATCATCGGCTACAATGCTCGAGAATCTGCTCAATCGTAATCGAGAACGTGAATTTACTTATGCTCAAATTACACCGCCATCAATGCCATCTCCGAATGAAACAATGGATCCAGATCCTGAAATTGAAAGTCATCGACAATTTGTTAAAAAGATGATGAAAGAGGCTTGGGACAATTATGTGCTTTATGCTTGGGGATATAATGAACTACAGCCACAGTCACGTAATAAAAAAATGGATTCGATTTTTGGTCCAACCAAACTGGGCCTTACAATTGTCGATTCAATGGACACATTGTTTCTGATGGACATGAAACAGGAATTTGAACTGGGTCGCCAGTGGGTGGCACAAGAATTAGATTTTGAATCCACACCAACTGAAACATCAGTGTTTGAAACAATCATTCGTTATGTTGGTGGCCTGTTAACCTGTTTTGCTTTGACTGGTGATCCAATGTTTCTATACAAATCTCGCCAAGTTGCTCAAGCTTTATTACCTGCATACAATACTGCCACTGGTATGCTTGATATTTTCAATTTTTTCTTATTCATAAAACTAACAATATTCTAGGTATTCCAAACGGTTTAATCATTCCGAAAACTGGCAAAGCTTATCACCATACATGGGCTAGTGGTGCTATATTATCTGAATTCGGATCACATCATTTGGAATATACATATCTAAGTGATATGACAGGTGACCGGCGTTTTCATGATCGTGTCAAACGAATCCGATCTGTTTTGAACAATGCCGAAAAACCAAATGGCCTCTATCTATTGATGTTGGATGAAGAAACCGGTCGTTGGACCGATAATAAAGTATCATTAGGTGCACTTGGTGATAGTTTCTACGAATATCTCATCAAAGCGTATGTTCAATCTGGTCATCGTGATCGGCAAGCCTTACAGATGTACACTGACGCTATGGATGCAATCGATCGTTCTGGAATGATCAATCAATCAGCTTCAGGCCATTTGACTTATGTTTCTGACTTGGTGTTTGGAAAACCAACTAATAAAATGCAACATTTGACCTGTTTTGCCGGTGGAATGTACATGTTGGGCGTTCATCATATGGCCGGCAACTCTGCTGTAGGAATCGATATTCCAGACAATGTTGTACGTGATGATAGTGCGCCAAAAACTTTAGCCAATCTGACAGCTGCCGAATATAGTCGACTACAACGGCATTTTGGTTTGGCTGTTAATCTCACCGAAACCTGTTATCAATCATATCATCGAACACCGACACATTTGGGGCCAGAATCATTCTACTTTAACGAAAAAGTTGAAGCCATTAATCCGAATGGAGATTATTACATTCTTAGGTAAGAGCCAATTGGTTAAGAAAAATTCATAGTTGTTAATTATCACACAAACGAATAGGCCTGAAGTTATTGAAAGTTATTTTATCATGTGGCGATTAACACATGACAATCGATATCGAGAATATGCATGGGAAGCTGCACAGGCAATTTATGAACATTGTCGAACAGAATCCGGTTATGCAGGCATATATAATGTGATGCACAAACCAGCCATCAAGGACAATACTCAGCAAAGTTTTTTCCTGGCCGAAACACTCAAATATTTATATCTTATTTTTTCCAATGATAAATTGCTATCATTGGATGAATGGGTTTTCAATACTGAAGCTCATCCGCTGCCAATATGTGGTCATAATTCGGCATATCCTGCCTCTACTTGCATCAACAATAATAATAATAATAATAATGGCCGAACCTAGCATTCATTCAGATCAAGTCTGAATTTTGAATAATTGTGATATTTCTCATTATAAATGATGATGATGATATGATATTTGTAATTTGTAACATATTTAGAATTTTTATTGTGGAAACTTTGCTTTTTTCTGTTTTTAAATTCTAACAAAAATTCTAAAATTTTGCTCGATCATTATTTTTGTTCGATGTTTTTTTGTTCAATACATGTTTCACTAAAATGACGAACGAAAAAAAGAAAAAATTACAAACAATGACAAAAAGTCCTACGTCTGCTGAACAAGAAAGCGAAAATGAAACCATCTTCTCATCAACGTTTTCAACATTGTCTGATGATGCAAAAATGTTGCCAATGGATTCGATGACAATCGTACGGCAACTGGCTACATCATCAGTATTGGTCATTGCTCCCGTGGCTTTAACATTATTGTTGGTTATCATATCGGTTCATATTCAGTGCATATTGAATTATTGTCCACATATACCTATTGATGAACTAATACCGGTGTTTTCCAAGACCGATACACATGATTTCAATGCAAATGCTGCAAATGCATTGAAAAACACTGGTGTTCTATTGAGCTACATAATTGTAGCCACATTTTTCCTACTTGCACTAATCTATTTCCGTTTATATAAAATACTGGTTGCTTTTGGTGTATTCTTGGTCATCATGTTGTGCACAATGAAATCATTAATCTATTGGCATAATCTATTGTTTTTTCTCGATTTTGCCATTGATAATTTTACCATTGGAATTTTAGTCTGGAATCTGGTTGTCACCGGTGAGTACGGGTAATGTACAATATGTATAAAAGAAATATTTAAAAGACAAAATTCGTTCATCAGGTTTGATCATATTTTTTATTCTCAAAAGTCCTTTACTCGTACAACAAATCTATCTGATCTACATAAGTTTATTGGTCAGTAATTTTATCATCACTTTATTATCGCCATCGACCGCTTGGGTTTTATTGATTTTTTTAATCGTATGGGATATGATTGCCGTATTAACACCATGTGGTCCATTGAATCTGATGCTTAAATTGATTCGAAAACGGCAAAAAATGAATGAAAAAGTCTATGTACCACCGGTACTCATCTATTCGACTATGATTTTCGATTATGTGTCTATTTTTAATGAACAGAGTGCACAACGTATCTCACCAACAACAACAGTGACATCACCGAAATTAGCAGAAAAACGTTACCAAACTAAACATCGTCCAAATCTTGGTCTTGGCGATTTCATTTTCTATAGTCTATTGATGGGACAGGTTCGTCAAGCATATACATTGGTCACGGTTTGTTTTGCTGGTCTTTCCATCCTGGCTGGATTGATTGGAACATTAGCCATATTAGCATGGTCACGACGTCCTTTACCAGCATTACCAATATCATTATCGATTGCCATTATTGTAGTCATTATTTCCGGTTCATTCACTGAACCATTTGCGCTATATTTAAATTCAAATTTAATTTTCATATAATTTCATTTTATAATGATAATTTACAAATGCTGATCCATTTATAGCTAAATAAAACAGTTCATTTATTCATACTATAGTGATATATCAATGCACATCCATATAAACCTTGAAATTTAATGTAAAAAAAGAATAGATTTTTTCGTAAACATTTCAATCAGCCGTAGTCCTTGACCCGCATCCCCAACAACATCCCTTCATCCATACATTTTTCCAAGTTTTTTTTGATTCGGACGACGACGACGACGAAAATTTAGTCAACATTCGATTCGTTCATTCATTAAAATAGATCCATCATGTGGCTGTGTTTTCTGTTGTTTATACAAGACAACAAATAAATCCATCACCATTATCATGTGAAATATACAGCCAATAATTGCATCATTCGCATGATTGATATATCAAGAAAATGTATTCAATTGAAAAAACCACATCATTCATCGTCTCACTCAAACGAAACCATTGTCATTATCATCATCAGCAAATGAATTGACAAATTTTCTTTTCACATTTTGTTCGACATTTCATTCAATTGACACTTTTTAATCATTATCGTCCTTAAAACACCTATACATTTTTTCACCGAACCAGGAAACTTAATTTAAAAAAAAAAAAAAATTAAATTTTTCTCCTGGCTTTCACACCGTTCAAATAAAATGTAATAATTGGTTTCACCAACAATAATTCTGGCATATGCTACTACCACAATTTTCAATATCACGTTATACAACTACTACTACCGAATACCAGAGTTTTCCGTTGCCTTTTCGGCTTCAATCATTGATTCGTGGATTCGCGTTTGTTTGTTGATTTGTGTTTGTATAACATTGTCATTATCATTATTGCAAATGAATTGATCTTATTGTATTTATTCTCATTGTCGAAATTGTGTTACCAAAGAAATTAATCGTTTATATATTGATGATGATGATTGATATCAAAACAACAAATATGATAAAATAGTCAGGTTCAATTTTTTTTATCGCATCAATTTCTCACTGGTAAGTTTTTTCAATGAAATTATCATACAGTGCTGATTTTTAATTTTTTCTTGCATATTGATGATGATGGCGATTGCTAACAACGATAGTTATTTTTGAGGGAAAAAATGCGTCATTTATTTTCAGAATCATTAATGGCCAAATTTTGTATTTACCATTTTTGATCATATGTAGAGAGAATTCATTTGTTTGGCATTCATGTATTATGACAATATAATTGCAACAAACAATCGATCTATAGAATAATAAATGAAATTTAAATTTAAATCTCTATATCTGTATATCTGTATATTTTATTATTATTTTTCAAATTTAAATTTAAATCTCTATATCTGTATATCTGTATATTTTATTATTTTTCAGCTTTGACTTTCATCATCATCCAAAACTTCATTGCTCACATAAATTCCATATATTCGTTTTCACATCAAAATAAATTGATTGATTGATTGAATGAATGAATCAATTTTAATGTTAATGTTAATGGGAAAATGATTGAAATTGTTTTTCCTTTTGTATTTTGTAATTTCAAATTCGAATGTTCAACACCACAACAGTAACATTAATAATTGTTCATTGATCAAAAAAATAAATACATGAAATAGAGGAAAATGTCACCGGCAATGCATCCACAGAAATTGTCTACATTTGCTCGAATCAAGATGCCTGACATGATACGAGTTACATACAAAGCTATACGTATGACATGTTGTATGTTACACAATGTCTATTGTATTCCTGGATATCTTCTGCTTAATCTATTAATGTTGCCATTGTACTATATCTCGATTGAAGCTTATTCTTGGATAGAAAATATTCTTTACTATGCATTACTTTACATTGTTGGCTGGTGGGGCTACGGTGGTGGCCTAATTGTACATGAACATGGTGATGATATACATCAATTGTTAGAAGGTATTCTTTCATGTATCAAAAGAATTTATTTACATTTTCCCATTTTATAATAGATAATAATCCAAATATTCGAGTACTAGTGGTTGCTAATCATCAATCGACGGCCGATGTACCGCTTATGTTTCAAGCTTTCTCTGCACGTTCTTCATACTCATTACTATGGATCATGGATCGGGCTTTCAAATGGACCAATTTTGGTCTAGTCTCACAAGTTCATGGTGATTATTTTATCGATCCAAAAAATTATGTCCCCGACAGCATTGCTAATCATTGTCAACAACGATATAGTTTAATGAAAAACATGATCATCATATTTCCAGAAGGTATATTTAGTGTGTATCATTCATAAAGTTATTGATTAATTATCAATTTGTTGTTTCAATAGGTGGTTTTCGATACAAACGTTTGCAATCATCGATAGCGTTTGCCACCAAACGAAACTATCCAATTATGTGCAATGTTACATATCCTCGTGTGAATGGGTTTCGTGAATTATTGAAAGATGACGTCAATATAACACATGTTGTTGATTTAACCATCTGTTATGATGATCCAGACAAAGTACCTTCCATATTGGATATTGTGCGTGGTATAAATTATTCTGGTGTTCATTTTCATTATAAAATACATCAATTGAATGGAGCCGAAGAGAATATCAACTCTGAGGAATGGCTTTATGAACAATGGCAAAAGAAAGAGGCACTATTGAATAACCATTATACAGCTATTAAGCGAAAACAACAAAACCATCCAAATGATTTATCCATCGATTCAAACAAATCAAGCTCATCAGGTGATGACCATGTTAGTTGTGGTTTATCATCGGTTAAACATCAAGAACAGCAATCATTACTTCGAAAACGTAATGATATTTCTCCCATCAAACCATCAAATGTTGGCATTGGTGCCGGTTGTTGTGATCATTTGAGCCCAGATAATGTCGATTCATCAAATCATTCGCATAATAATAATAATAATAATAACCAACATCCATCTTTATCTCCCGAAACACAGGCAACGACAACGACAATCACTGCGCCATTATCGGCATCATCGGAAAGTGTACTAAAATTTCGTTCACATCATGAGTTTCAAACGTATCGATTCGATTTGAATCAAGGTCGTCCTGTACGATTTAGTTTTTTCCGTACGTTATTCTATCATCTTGGCTATCTATTTGTCTGTTTAATGGCCTATGCTTTCATTGCTGTACTTATCGTGCCAACGCTATAAAAAAAATTTAATGAAAACAAAATTTCATTACATTCTTCACCTAGTCATTGATATAATGATTGCAAACTAACCCATCAAAACAAGAAAAAACGGGAAAGCTTTACAAAATCATCTCAATCAATTATGACAATCACACATATGTTGATTATCGATCAATAACAATCAATTTGGGAACAAATATTTGAACAAAGAAAAAAAAATTAGACATTACAATTTCAATAATAAATAAATAAATGAATGAATGCTTCACTTTTTAAACATTCTAATCAATAATCAATTGTGATCACACAAAATAAAAAACGGTTTCAAGTTTATGTTAGGTTTTGAATTTTTATTTTTTATCCTTCACACAAACTAACACTCATATTCACAGATCACAGAACCATTTTATTATTAATTTGTAAATTATATTCATTTTTGTTCGAACAAAATCATTAGTGAACGAATCATCATTCTATCTACAACAAAACATTGAGTGGAGTGGCAAAAATCATGGGCATCACCGATCATTTGTAATTCTTTGTATTTCACAATTTATGTGTATAAAATAAAATCATTATCATCATGTTGTTCACAAATGAATATATTATGACTTTTTTCTTAGATCGTCTAATATATCATCCATTTTCAATGAAAATGATACACCACATGAACAGCTTTTATCCGCCAATGGATTATCCACGACACAGAATCCACTACGAATAAGTTCATCTTCATAATCTATTTTCGAACCAAAGAGATAGTCAAGGGATTCACGATCGATAACAACACGTTTGACAAATAGTACATCTTCTTCGTGATTGTAATTGATTTTATTATCTATAGAAAATTCATATTCAAATCCAGAACAACCACCACCACGAACACCCACACGAAGTAATTCATTCGAATCGAGTACCTCTTCGATACGTTTCAAACATCGGTCCGTTACAATTACGTTATTCGTTTTTGATTCTTGCGGATGATTGATTGGACTAGACTGATTTTCTTGGCCAGATGATGACAAAAATCTATAAAATTGATGTGACACCAGATGTGTTCTTGCATTCGATAACAATGACAATCGACGGCATGAGCATGATGATGAATAATTTACAAATTTGATGGTCCGATTAAAAAGCACAAATGAAGTACGAATCAACATTTAGTAATTTTAAATTAATATATCAGATTTTGGTGACCAAAATCCGATCGACATGTTGCGAAATTTTGTTGACTATTTTAAAACATCTGATATTTTCACTCTACAAGCTAATTCAATATATTACGATAGATGTCGCTATATCATGCCATTCATTTACACATTTGTGTAATGTTTAAATGAACTCGCGAGCGGGAAATAAATGTAAACAAGTTTGTCTCAAAAAGGAAAATTTTGACTTTTATTCCGACTTTACTGGCTCATTTTACAAATCATATAGAGGAACATTTTGGTCATTCAGTGGCAGGATTGTTTTTTTTGAAAAATTACATGACTGTTTTGTATTTATTCATCATCATTCTCATTTGAATGATGTGAGCTGATTCCATTTAATAGAATTTTTTGTAATAGCCACCATAATAGGCTGGAGCATATCCATATCCATACCCATATCCGACACCACCCAAACCGTAACCATACGAATAAGCTGGGGCATAGCTATTGCAGATGAACGAAAAAATTCTTTGAGCATTTTGAAATCCAAAATAATCAATTGATCAAATACCTTGCATAGCTAATAGCTGGAGCGTATGATTTGTAATATGGTGCAGCATAACCATAGCTGTGATAAGCTGGAACAGAATAAGTTCGGTAAGCTGGAGAAATGGCTTTGTAGTAAGCTGGTCCCCCATATCCATAGCCAACACCACCGAGGAAACCGTAACTGCCATAATATGGCACGGCCGAAGCAACAGCGGCTAAGACCAAAAGAGCGGCAACGATATATGTTTTCATTTTTGTTCAAATTTGCTTTGAGCAAAATAGTAGCAAATAATAGTTTTTGTTTGGTTTGTTACTGAATGATTTTGTCCATCATCAATGGTCAGCTTTTTATATCTTCTTGGATCGATTTTTACCTCTCTAACTATACGAAAAATACCTTCTTCTTTTTCCTTCAAATGAAGATTCATGGCGGAACTTTTCCATTGCATTGTTTATTAAATTAAACATCTACCTGTTCAACTCGACACACACACACACACACACACACACATTTTACTCAATACCTACTTGTTCATTTTTTGCATTATAATTAGTTTTTTTCTTGCTTATTATTATTATTATCATCATTATTGCTTTCTGGATAGTTATCAAACGAAACAAACAGGTAGCCCATTATCAATGTCATCATCATCATCATCATCGCCGTCGTCATAACCAATGTGATGTTCCAACATACTTTTCATCACAACAAACCTGATACATGCACAGTGAATGTGACAAAGAAACACTGAAGACTAGAAGTGTTTGAGATATTTTGTTTCATTGAATGATGTCCCAAAATAAAAATCATAATCATAAAATGATGATGGGCATGATGACGATGGCTACACCCATCATGCTGGAACATCATTGGCCATTTTTTTGTTAGTTTCTTTTTGCTCATTCAATGTCCAGAAAATCACCATCACTGATACCTTGTCATATTTTTTCTTCTTTTTCTCTTACCTTATCACGTCGATGCAATCAATAATTTTTTTTCGATTCACCATTGTTAGAGTTGTTTTCCAGTTTCTTTACTGGAAATCTTCTGGAATACATTAGTGGTCATCATCATCGATTTTGTTTGATCGGTGTCGTTCATATTTCCATTTGTCATATCTACATGTTTAAGTTTGAAAAAAAAATTAATTTGCGTGTTTTGACGCCATTCACATGCGGCAAAAAACAATTTTCATCACTAAACGTGGTTGGCTGATTCCAAGGAAACAGCAAAAAATAAAATTAATTCTACCATTGTTTCAATCAATGTTGCTGGATCGAATAACAAAAAGATGTATTTTTCTGGAAAATTAACTACCCACGGACAAATGAAATTTCAAAAAAAAAAAAAACCAGAAATAATCAAAATTCATCATAGCCAAATCCAAATTGATGCAAATTAATGCATGTCGCATAAATTATAATGTTTAAAACGGGGAAATAAATTAATTTTCGTCTATTAGATAACTACCAGCTTCATCATAATTGCTATTGTGTGTGGTTTTGTATTTTTCCACTCAATGGATATTTATTCATTTAAAAAGGACAACCACATCTGGCTGATCATTTGATTTTTCTTTCTTTCTTGCTTCTTTTCTTGCTTCCCAGCCAATTCATTCATCGAAAATGAAAAGAAAAATTTTATTAGCCGAAAAAGAAAACGTCCTTCAATTTTGTATGTATACAATCTACATTGTACATTGCTCGTTTCTTTCTTTCGAGAAAATTCATACGTTTGTTCTTCATTCATTTTGGATGTTGGTTGAAAATGACCTCTAATTTGTTGGTTTTAATACTATATGAACACACACGTGAACGAGTACTGAAACACGTATCAAATTTTGTTTCAGAAACAACATTGTTGTTGTTGTTGTTGTTGTCGTTTTTATCCTGTAGGCATCATAGATTTGTGATGAATAGACTTGAATATATTATTTCTGCTTATAATTCCAATTATCATTATTCAACACTGGATATTAACGCAATTCACATCGATCCACCACGCTCATATCAAAATCAAGGTTGTTCGTAATTTTTTTTTTATCACGAGAAAATCATAAAAATGACCAATCAATGATGATGGAACATTCGAGAAACCAAGATTAATATCGATATGTTCGTTTTATGAATCATATCAAATCATTAAATCAAAATGACAAATTCTACATTTATCATCAACGATGAAATATGTCCCCTTCATAGATGTAGATTGAAATTTGATTTCGTTTGATTTGAATTATGATTATTTGCTTCTTGTCTTTTGATCAATCGATTAATCAAGCAAATAATCAATCGATCATGGCCATTTCTTTCGATGTTAATGGAATGCCCATCGCAATGTAGAAAGAAGGTGCAAATTATCACATGATAAGGTAATTTCCTCATGGATCAAGATCAACAATAATCAATCAAAGCAAAATGTCTTTTCTTTTCACTTCACCATTCTTTATTTGATTTATTGTCATTATCAGTTTTGATGATTATTTTCAATCATCGTTTTTTCATTCCATTATCCATTCAAATTGATAATGTATACGATCATGTGATGATGAATCCTGATTATAAATTGGCAATTTAGTTTCAACGGTCAAAATATTCGTTTGTTCATCATAATTAAAGCGTATGATTCGTGGATCTGATACATGTCCATTCAATTTAAAGGAAATTGGCAGCTTTGGTACACCAAGAATATTGATAAAATTTATGTTTTGTGTTGTTTGATATCCAAGCCATTGTGATTGGATAGTTAATGTATTCTGAATTAAAAACAAATCAGTTCAGAAAAACTTTCAATATATTCACTATATACTCACATTTACAGCATCAAAATTGTAAAAATTGTAATGTCCAGTTTCATCTGGATTCAAACTATCACCGGAATCCCAATACAATGATCCTTTGGCATATGAAGTTTGATTGTCTAGAGCTACAATCAGTAAGAAATCTTTTGTTTTCATCAATTCCGTATTGTCGTGTGGTTCTTGTGTCGGTATGATTGAACCACCACGAACGAAAACATAATCGATATCGTCATATGAATCATTCATTGTTATGTATTGTCCTTGGCTTTCGAATGATACTTTCCTATTGTACCATGTACCTTTTGGTAGATAGATTTTATGCTGAAATGAAAAACAACAGTTTGTAGTGCACTCAGTAATTATTTGTAAAATATCATGAAACATTTCAAAACAAACCTGAGTCTGGTTAGGGTATAGAATCGGAGCTATCAACACTGAATCGCCCCACATGAATTGTGTTTCAATTTCATATGTATGTTCATCATGTGGAAATTCGAAAAACATTGGACGCAAAACAGTTCCGCCATTCTTGTGTACATGATAGAACAGTGTGTATAAATGAGCTAGAAATCTATATCGATATTGAAGTGAACTTCGTGCTGCTTTAATAACACTTTCACCCAAAGCTGCTGGATCTTGATCGATTGCATGGATGTCATTATGATTACGAGCAAACGAATAAAAAGCACCAAGTTGATACCATCGAATACAAAGTTCTTCAACCGTATTGCCGCCGAATCCACAAATATCAGCTCCTACCATTGGTATGCCAAACATGTTGAAATTCAATATAGATGGTATAGTCCATCTCATTGAAGACCAATCGGAGAGAATATCACCGTTCCAATGATAAGCCCAATGGCCATGTCCAGGTGCTGTAGCGCGAGATATAATAAATGGTCGTTTATTCAATTTAGTCAGTGCCCTGAAATAGATTCGGTTAGATTAATCTTTTTTTTGTAACACATTTGAATCCAACTTACGCATTCGTAGCCATCGCCATCGATAAGGAATACAAATTGTGCAGATTATAATGTAGTTGATCATCATAATGACGAGCAGTCATGCAAAGGGTTTTATGTCTTAAAGTCAGACTATCATCAGTCATTCCGGGTACGTATTGTGGATTTTCAATTTCTGATTCAGGACAACCATGCTCTTCACCATCATAAAAATTCGATGGCTCATTCATATCGAGCCAAGCGCCATCGAATGCGATTGTTTGATGGTACTCAGCAAACATATCCATCCAATATTCGGTTGCATTAGGATGACTGAAATCAGGCCATACTGTAGATTTTCCATTCCAGACTTTTCCACGAAATATTTTATTGGATGAATTTTTGACGAATACATCAAGTTCAACACCGCTATCGAATGGCTTATAGGAACCAGCAGATTCTCCACTTGAAATACCACAGTCAAACATGGGTATAAATTTCTGTCCATTCGGATGCAATACGTTATTTATGAAATCTGGCAATTCTTTGAATCGTTTGTGGTCATACGTAAAATCATTATTCGAATTAAACGCATCAATATCGGTCCATTGAACGTCCATAGGAATTCCTGCCGCTCTGGTTCGTGTATAAGTTGCATTTAAATTTGTAAAGTTATTGTATCCATATCGGCATTGTTGATAGCCCAATGACCAAAACGGTGGCATAGCTGGTAAACCGATCAAATTTTGATATTGCGAAATAACATCCTCCGGTTTAGGACCAAAAAAGACGAAAAAGTCTAAAATTCCACCGATTGTACGAAATGTGATGGCAGGTGACGGTTGAGTAATAATGTCCATTGCGTTGCTATTGAACAAGAACACACCACTTGCAGATTTTTTCGGACTTTCATCTTCAACTGTCAGATAAAATGGATGGTTTCCATACAAAGCCTTGTCAGTTACTGGATATTGATCTCTTGTCCATTGAGTATAACGTTTCCAGTTTGTATTTTTACGGAATGGTGCACGATGTTCACCAAGGCCATAAATATATTTGGAGGGCAGTCTTGATGTTACATGAATCAATTGATCTGAGTATACCATGTAAGCAAGATTAATATCAAAAATTGATTGATTGGTTTCACGTCTTCGAACGATAAGATGAGAGCTGTCCAGTTCCACTGAATACAATCGAGAATTCGATGATGATGATGTAGAAGGTAGATTTAATTTTGGTATCGGCACTTCATATCTTTTTTTGTTTGCGTCGATAAATTTGAGTCGAATTACTTTATCGTTCAATTCATGGATTTCGATATTTATGTTTTCAATATCACGAGCGAATCCAGATGATCGATTACGTTTTAATTGAATGAGATTTTTTGAATGTTTTTCAATTTTGTAGCCAATGTAATTTTCACCATAATAGCAATAAGGTACATTCAGATTGGGAAGAGCTTTGCTTGACAAATTCTTCAGATCATTACCGGGTGTCTTCCAACAACATCCACGTTGTTCGCAAACATTTTTCGAGATTGGAGGATCAGGATTACAATCAATACGATCTTCATTTCGGATCGTGCTACATTTCAAGGAATCAGATGTTACAAATGTAACCAGTGATACGATTAAAGAAAAGAAAAAAATTTTGTCAATGCCATGGTTTGGATGGTTTATAATGAATTCTATGCACATCAAAACTTGAGTTTTTATGTGTAAAAATTTAAAAATTTTTGTTGCCAATTTAAAACGAAATTCAATTGTTTTTCAGTTCAAGTAGTTTGAGAGGCACTTGAAAAAATTAAGATAATTTTTTTGGGTTTTTATTATTAAATTAAATAAAATGTACAGGTTATATTATACAAGCTTAAGCCAAAAACAATTTTAAACAGACCAAAGTGTTTATAATAGATCCCAATAAAGTTGATGGTGAATTTTTGTTTGATCATTGTATAATGGAAGGCGTATATTGTTGATAGTCAATGTATGATGGGCTTGTTCATATTTAAAGTTAAATCCATCTTTTTTTCCATCAATCGAGATAAATTGCGGCTGTTGATAGAATCCAAGGATGATGATTTCCTCGATAATCAGATTGGTTTGGTAGCCAAGATGTTTGGATTCAATGTTCAAATTTTGCTATAAAAAAATAGTCAATTATTCATTATTATAGTCAGAATGTCAAATATTAGAAATTACATTTTTCACTGTAAAATCATAAAGATTAAATTGTCCAAGTTGTTCGGTATCAATGTAATCACCAGCATCCAAATACAATTGTCCAGTAGCAGCCGATAATTCATTTTCGAGTATAACTAACAAACTGAACGGTTCTTGTCTCGTTGCTTCCGATGTTATATTTGGTTTCTGTATCGGAATAATTGATCCAGAACGATAATAAACATTGGGATATGTGAATAAAGCGGGCATCGACATGAATTGACCTTTGCCTTCAATACGTTGATAATCACCGACAAAAAACCATGTGCCTTTGGGGAAATATACATGGATCTATAATAATGAAAATTGCATCAATAAATAAAGTAATAACTAGAATTCATTTGATGATCAAACCTTTTTTTGATTAGGTGATAATGCCGGTGCAATCATCATTGATTTACCCCACATAAATTGCGAATCAATCTTGTATGCATTTTCATCGTCGGAGAATTCAAAAAACAATGGACGCAAAACTGTGCCTCCATTTTTGTGTACATTATAGAACAATGTGTACAGATAGGATAAATGAGCATATCGAATACGAAGAGCATTTTTGGCTGCTTGTACTACATGCGGTCCTAATGCTGCTGGATCTTGATCAATACCATCGTCTGTATTATGGTTACGTGCAAACGTATAGAATGCACCCAATTGATGCCATCGAGCGCAAAGTTCTTCGGTTGTGTTTCCATTAAAGCCACATATATCAGCGCCTACCATTGGAATACCAAATAGATTGAAATTCAATATAGATGATATTGACCAATTCATTGAAGACCAATCAGAAACAATGTCACCAGTCCAATGATAAGCCCAATGGCCATGACCAGGCGCTGTTGCGCGAGATATAATAAATGGACGCTTTTTCAACGTATTTTTCAATGCACTTGATGAGAATAAATTAGATTAGTCTATCGAAATTAACAAATAATAAACTTACTCGTTTGTGACGATAGCTTCTTGTAATCCATACAAATTATGGAGATTATAATGAAGTTGACCATTGTAATGTCGAGCTGTCATACACAATGTTTTACGTTTCAATGTCAAACTCTCGTCGACCATGCCTGGTGTGTATGGAGGTGTTTCGAAATCATTTTTGGGACAACCAATATTTTGGCCGTCTAGAAAATTCGATGGTTCATTCATATCGATCCAGGCACCATCGAATGAAATCGTTTTATGATATTGAGAAAGCATCCTTGTCCAATATAATGTTGCATTTGGATGAAAGAAATCTGGCCATACTGTTGACTTTCGATTCCAAACTTTTCCGTAGAAAACGTGATCTGACGAATTTTTGATAAACACATTCATTTGAAGGCCGACATCGAATGGTTGATATGAATTCGGAGCCTCGCCAGCTGATATTCCAGGATCAAACATCGGTATGAATTTCATTCCATTTTTGTGTAAAACTTTGTTTATAAAATCGGGCAATCCTTTGAAGTTTTTTTCATCATAAGTAAAATCATTATTGGAATCCATTATATCGATATCGGTCCATTGAACATCCATTGGAATTTCAACGTCACGATTTCTAGTGAATGTTGCCAACAGATTGCTCATGTTTCGGTAACCAAATCGTGAAAGGTGAAAACCCAAAGACCAAAACGGTGGCATCAACGGTAAACCAATCAGATTATGATATTGGCACACAACGTCTTCTGCTTTAGGACCGAAAAATAGGAAAAAATCTAGTATGCCGCCTATTGTACGGAAAGTAATGGCCGGTTGAGGTTGAGTTATAATATCCATAGCATTGCTGTTGAATAAGAAAACACCACTTGCTGGTCGTTTGTCGTTGTATTCTTCAACTGTCATATAGAATGGATGGGATCCATATAATGCCATATCAGGCAAAGGATATTGATCTCGATTAAACATTGTATATCGTTTCCAGTTAGTAGGTTTTCGAAATGGTTCTCGATGTTCACCGAGACCATACACAAAATCTGAAGGCAATCGTGTTGTCATCTGTATGAATTGGTCTGAATATATCAACAATGCTAAATTTACATGGAATACAGCTTGACCATTTTCACGGCGACGAATGACTAGATTGGAATCATGAAGTTCAATAGAATATAGTTTTGAATGTGACACAGATGTAACGGGTACGTTTAATTTAGGCACAGGAACTTCGAAACGAGGATTTTCCAGATCACTAAATTTGATTCGAATCATTTGATCAGTGAGTTGATAAATATCAATTTTGACATTTTGAATATCACCAGGAAAACCAGAAGGGTGAACTCGTTTCAAATGAACATAAGTGTGAGTTTCTTCAGATCGATTCTCGATAATTTTGTAGCCAACATGATCAATGGGATCAAAGTAACAAAATGGAATATCAACAGGAGGTAAAGCTTTTGTTGTTCGTAATGTGTAATTTGAATATTTCTCTTTGATTGGATTCCAGCAACATCCACGTTTTTCACATATTTCTTTTGAGATTGGTGGATCCGGATTACAATCGATTCGATCTTCAGGCCTGACCAATTGGCATTGTTCAAAGATTTTCATTTGTGCAATATATGCTTCATCATCCAAGGTTTTTATCGAATCGTTTTCAACATTTTGATTATAACGAACTATGGCCACTATTAAAAATATCAATGACAATAACGAAAAAAGTGCGACAGACGATAGAAATAAAATGTTGAATTTTTTACGGACACGTTGAAATTCTAGTCGTTGTTCGTGTATAAAACTTAGCCATGATCGTTGATGTGGGTAATATAATGTATCACGATTGAATAATTCAACATTGTCAAAATCCATAATGGATTCAAATTCAGGATCATTTTTCAGTCGTTTGTGATTGAATTGAGAATGCGACATCATGTGCAGTTTATTTTGAAATCTAGATATATGAGAAAAATAAATAAAACGAATGTAAATCAATGCACAATGCACTATAATTTCTAATTAAAAATAAATCGCCATCACAATTGTGATGAGCAAAATGAGAATCCATCCATTGATGCCCAGTATCATTTCATTTATCATCGAATGAGATTATTGCCTAGGTTACGATTGCAACCAAAAAAATCTTGTTGGGTGTTGTCAGTTTGTCATCATTGAAAATAAAAGATTTATTTACCGTTGTTTGAGCAAGAAAAAGATGCAAATCAAAAAAATCTAGAAGCTAAGTAATAAAAATGTCAATCAATTAGAAAACAATAAATATGGGTGTTACTGATAATGATAATGATGTGTACGACGAAAACAGCAACAATGACAAAAACGGTAAATATTTGGGTTTCATCATTTTATTTCTCAGACGACGCAATTATTATCATCAGCTGTGTGAATTGATAATGTATATGCTCATTCAATGGCATATATATAGTTTATAACCATACCATTACTTTCGATAAGAGTAGTGGTTCATATTTTTGTAAGACTTGAATTCTATTCTGATTCCATTCCACGATGATTATAAAATGGTAAATGTAGATTCTTGCTTGTAAATTTATGATAATCAGGATGATATGTTTTCACGTTTTTCACAGATTTATCCTGTTATTGGTTGGATTACGAACATCATAATGAATATATCTTCACATTGATCATTTATCAACAGCAATCCAACGACAAACAGTATGATTAAATGTTGATCAATTGACAATTTCCTTTAGTCGAAAAAAGAGACAAAGACACAAAATGAATAACAACATTAAATTCTCGCATAGTCTTTTTTCTGAATCATCAACCAGAAAACGACAATAATTATAGTGAATGATGAAAAAAGGTTGTTGAATAGTGCTGATTTAGAATGAATGAAAACCGGGAAATTAACCATGGCCACTTGTGGCACACAATAGAGCTGTCACCAATATACGAAATAAAAAAAAATCACAATCACAATAGACGATTGACTGGCATACACAATGGAGATTAAACAAAATAATACCCACTGGGAAAGGGTGTTTTATTTGGTGTCAAGTATAAAAATTTGTTAACACAAGATTGAAGAGTTATTTAATACTGACAATCAATTTTTCTTCCAAATGAAATAAACTTACATGATGATGATGATGATGATTTTTGAATGTAACTCGATGGCAACAAAAAGTTTGATCATGACAATGATGTTGATTTTCTTTCGAAATAAATTAATCCTCTATTGATTGAAAATATAAAGATCGTCATGTTTATTTGTTTGCTGATAAGACACATACAAACATCGAGACAAAAAAACAAGTGGCACTCTAAATGTTTAATTTTTAGGGGTCAAATTGTATGTGGTTCAATTTTTTTCAACATTCATCATGATAATCAGTAGTAATCAGTATAATGTTGTTGAATAAATGGCCAATCAGCCAAAGCTTAAGAATTCGAATTAATTTCATTATTATTTTATCGTTGTTGAGAGGTCCTCGCTCTCACTCTTCTTCTTTTTTAGTTGGCCAATTGAATGATGATGATTGATAATCAATTATCATTTATTTACCGATTTAGGTTTAGATTCCATTGATTTTGTATTCTATCTGTTTTGTGTGTCTATTAGATCTAATCATCATTATCATTATCAAATGACGAGTGGAATCAAAAGGTTTAGCTAATAGTGTTATCAAAAAAAAAGAAAATGATGTCCATTGACAATTTATGTAATGATAAAAACGAACTTCCTGGATTTCGAATTGTTTTTTATTTCTTTTAACCTAATCTTTCAAAGTGTTGATAATTTTGATGATGATTATAAAGACATAATGATGGTTTTTTGAGGTCGACATTTACGATGCAAGAGAGAAGAGAGAAAAAATCTCATAAAAATGTGGGAATTTTTCGTTTTATTTTTTCTTAAATCCGATCTTTTTTAAATCGAAAAATTTTGAAAACAATCAAAAATGATGATGACAATAGTTCAGGATGGTAAAGTTCACAGTTTTTTCTGTTCGCTGATCGTGATTTGGCCATGAGAGAACAAGAACAAAGAGAGAGAGAGAACTAGAAACCAAGATTGAGAAAAAATCATTAAAATAATCATCGAATGGTTGTCTTTTTTCATCCGATTGATTTTCCATTTTCTTTTTAGACGTATTCGATGAACAAAGTAGAAAAATGTAAATATTATTTTTGTCTTTCACAAATTTTTTTCTGTGTTATTTTTTTGGTGAGTGGGATAGGAATGAGTTTCTATCGATGGATGATTTCATCATAGACATGATTATCATGTCAATGATTAACTAGATTAACATACTTTTAATGATGAAAAAATTGGATCAAACAGATTAGATCTTGTTGTCGTTTTATTCTCGGATAATCGTTGATGGAAAAAAATCTGTAGGCTCGAAAAAAACAATCGACATCTTTGTTCCTTATCTGCAATGATTGGATTTGTAACCAATTTTTAAATCTAATAAAAATAGCAACAACAACTATAGTTTCTATAGAAAAAATTAGGGTGGATCGTCGATTCATTTTAGTGATTTCTAATTTAACTTTTTTTTCATTATGATTACGATTATGATGATTATGATGATGATGAGAAAATTCAAAAATTCTATTCGTACACACACACACAAAAGATTTATTTATCAGCAAAATCTGTTTTCCACCCACCGTGAAAATATGGTTAAAATGTCTAGTCTAGTTTTTATGTGTTAAGACTGACAATATACTTGTCATAGAATGAACTATACTAAATATTGGCTTACCTCATTTACTTATTTTAATTCAATCGCGCCCTATCATCAATTATGAATTGACTAATTCCATTCAGTAGTAATCGTCGTGGTGAAATTACTTAAATGAAATACAATCATTATCCATTCACATACCCATCGTGATAATGCAAACACATACTGACATACTGACATGACATAATGGTTTGGTAAACATAAACTCAAACTGTCTTTTTTCCAACCATAATTCAAACAACACTTGTTTGTCTATTCAATTTGTTTTTAATTTTTTTGAATGATAACTTGGAGAATTCAACTAAGTTATCCTTCAAAAACTGTTATTATTTGTCATGGTCTGTGTATCAGCATTGAAAATGACAACCAAAACAATATGACCAGAGAAAGAATGGATAGGAAATGGCTAAATTCACATTCAAACACAAACTCCTTTTGCAAACGAAAACGACGTTATTATCATTAGGATCGACAATGATGATTATAATACAAAATTAAAGCGACTTTCCATCCTTTTTAAAATGGCGATGCTAATGTGTCAAAAATGAAAAATAGAATGGCTCCACTCACTTCTTGTTGATGATTAAGATCTCAATGCATATCAAGGATTATGGTTAGTGAGATAAAAAAAAAGAAGAAGAAGAAAATTAGATTTCCAACCATCTTCATCATCATTATCTTCTAAACATAAATAGTTGATGCCATTAGCCATCTACGTCCAGTCACCGTTACCGTTTATATGTTTTTTGAAAATTCAAATAATAAGTCTCACCATCTTGCCATATGTATCATCCTGAATGCACAGAACAAAGAAACGATGAAAAAAAAGTTGGCCATCAGGTCATGGACAACTATATGTTTGAAAACAACAAATTCATCCTCATGAATGAAACGAATGTGTTAGAATTTATAATGAAAAATATAATTGGCTTTCATGAATGTCGAGCATTCATTTGAGGAATTCAATTCAAATAGCTTTTTTCATTTAAAATCGTGAACATTTCGGAAATTTCTGAAATTAAAATAAAGATGATGATGATAATAATAATAATAATTTTTTTAATTAAACAACAATGAATGTTGAATGAATAAATTGTTTGAATATAACAAGTAAATTGATGCTAAATCGGTGGTGGTGGTCGTCGTCTTCGAAAATCTGGAGCATCGACAACAATGTACTACCCCGTGAATAAAGATTAATGAAATTGGATAATGATGATGATGATGATCAACGTATAGCACCGGTCAGGCTGTCAGTGTGATTTGTTTATGAAAAATGAACCAATGAACCAAATTGCTATAATTTACTCATAGCAAAAATTGATCACTGTCAGAAGAAAAAATTGTTTTCAAATATAAAATAAACGTGAATCTTATTTTGAGTGAAAAAATTATTTTTAACTTTAATCACATAATCAAGTCTTTCAAGTACAGAAAAAAAAGACTCACAATTCATTTGCCGAATGAAAAAGCATTTTATAGATTTTTCTCGAATCAATTTACAATTCAACTTTTTTCGGTCCAATCATATTTTCGGGCCATAATTCGAAAAATGATAATCAAACTTTTCATTACTGGACCAACTTTTATTCAAATTTTTATGTGCAAAATAAATATAAAAAATTACAGAGTCGAAAACTTTTTACTCTCTTCAACAACGTTATTAATTGAGGTGGCACTGTATTCTTTTCGGAATTCTCATTCATTCATTCTGAAAGCTGGGAAAAAATACTTTTTTTTGTTACCATTTATCGGTGACATGGTCAATCACATAGATGGTGAAATAAAAATCATTGCACATACATATCAATCAACCTTACTTTGATCATCGATGAAATGAGAGAAAAAGAATCAGTTCGATCAATCAATCCGAATTTGATCTCCTACGTTCTTTTAGGTGATTGTTGTGTATACAATTTTGTTGTTGTTTTGTTTGGCTCGATATGTTCGATTTACCACGAAATTTTCATTTTGAATCAAGGTCATCGACGATGTGTGAATGAATATCGATTCTTTTCCATTTTATAAATCTCATAGATACGCGTTTGCTACTGATTGAAATATACAATTTGAGATTGAGAACAAGGAAGAGAAAATTGTATGTCATTCGGAATATGAATGCTTTGTGTGTGATCTAAAAATATCAATCAAAATATATCGATGACAATTGAACCGATGATGATCAACACTTGAAAGTTGTTAACTTCATCTTTATTCTTTTCTACCGGCTTAAAGGCGTTGAATATCTCAAACAGGAATTGATGGCTTTTTTCATCCTACACATAGTAGAAACATTAACTGTCGATAACAATGTTATTGATAGTCAAATTTGATACGAGAAGTAATTTGCAACATGTTCTAATCACATATACAATATGGTCGATTTATTATTTTATTTCTCACCATAATTATTATGTCACAACAACAACAATAACAATTACCATTACTATTTACATTTTCAAATATCATAATCATGTTTAGTACAAGAAATAAACAAAAAACAAAAAAATCACCGTACCGGTTACCACATATGTATCGAATAATGTTGTTTCCAGGCAATGTTCATCATCATCATCATCATGTAATCATCATTAGATTTCAATGAGAAAAGAAAACATATGCGCATGAATTATTTTGCTGATGACAATCATCAAATTGTCGATGATGATGAAGATGATCATAATAAGGTGACAATGGTTTCGTGTTTTGACCGATCAAACAAGAACAAACGTTTGTTTTGTTGTTTTTCCATATGACCTGTTTGATTTGGTTTGGTTTTTTTATCAGGATTCAGGAACTGAATTGATTCAAACAATCACCATCATCTTCATTATTACCAGAAATTTCAATGTCATGGTTAAGATGTTTGTTTGTTTGTTTTTATCGTCGAAATAATTATTTATTGAACGATGAACATTGATTCATTCATTTGTTCAATGATTCATTGAATTTTTGTCTGTCTCAATGTCCAATTCTTTGATGATGATGATGATGATTTAAATCAATTTTCTTCTTGTCTTTTCTATTTTTTCACTATTCATTTGCTACAATCTACTCACTCAATTGTGTATTGTGTGTATAATTATATCGAATATCTAGAGTGACATTTTGTTGCATACACCGTAAAAAAATAATTGAAATGAATCTCAGTCAGTGAACAAGAATCAATCAAATCATCAGAATGCAATTGTTGAAAAGAGAGAGAGAAATGGGTGGATTTTTCATTTTAATTGTTATAATTTTTAGTGTTAAAAAACCCTCGAAAAAAATAAAACAAGGATCAATCTGACCATGTATATGTGTATAGTCAATTTATGATTGTTTTTTGTAAACACATGAAAAATAATAAATTGTTGGCCTCTGAAAATTGATGATGATAGTCACTCACGATGTGGATATAATGATAATGATGATGATGAGTATTAACCACACACTGGACATACAACATGAGTGATAAATGATCGTGTGTTGACAAAGACATGATGAACACAGAAACAAATGTATTATTAGTATCTGAT